ACTCGGCCAGCGAGGGTGTTAGACTCTAATGACTAAAAACCACCACTTGCAAGTTTCAAGTCGGGGTCCCGGCAACCGTTAAGTCTTTTGTAGCACCAGATGGGCATCAGTCCCACTAGACCCCATGTGTAGTGGTAGTTCACACGCACAACCAACTCACACTCAGTGCCGCTCGGGTCTAGTTCTGGTCGAGAAGCGAGCTATCCTTGCTCGCCACCCGCAAGCCATAGTTTGCCGATAAAATATTTGTTTAGCCTTGACTGATGCCCACGGCTGACTACGCCAATGCAACGAAATAATAAAACAACACGAGCACATACCAACTTATTAAGAGAACACACACCATCCAAACTGCCAACAATAACAAATTAATAATCAACTATAGTTATACAATTTACCAATGAATTAAAAAATTGTAGCGCAAGCATCCTTCGCACCGCAGAAGTCCTCGTTACAAACGGATCTATTGAATACTCTTTACTCAAGTTGTAGCTCTGCTTGCACCCATAATAAAGGGATTTCATCAGTACCTCGTTAAAGAATTTCGAATTAAGATTAGAGGATTGTAACGAATAGATCCGCATGGGACATTGAAAGAGAGTTTGTGTAAGAGATCGGGACAGTAAATTTCATTTGAGATGATTTTTAGCAGTGGGTACAGTCCGATATCAGACGGCGATTAGTACGGAGCAGAATATGAAACTGGTTACAAATTTCTAGATATTTGTCTGAGCTATATGGAACATGAAATTTGAAGCAACGAAATTTAATAAAGCGCTGTTGAATTGCCTCCAGTCACTGGATGTAAGTACTGTAACAGGCGTTCCATATTTACGATGGTGGCTTCTTACATAAGTGCAGTACAAAACCTTGAGTGTTGTTGCCTGTTTGAAATCTTTAGAGACCCTCATAATAAAGCCAAGCGCCATATATGCCTTACCAACTATTTCCTCAATATACATAGTTATCAAACAAAAGATTACGGCCATGGTAAATGCCGAAGGCCCTCACTACATCGCTTCTGGGTACCTGCTGCACCACAAGTTGTTGGCTATGTGCTACGTTTACAACTATATGTAATAATTGAGTACTTCATAGGATTCAGGTCCAGGGTGCTTACTCTTGAAGTCAATCTCAATGTCAATGCAATTTCACGCAATACGGATGCAATGGACGCTAGTGTTGCAAATCAAGAGTACAAAATGTCACAATGTCAATGTCGACCGATCGGAATTGGATTCAAGAGTAAGCCCCCTGTTTGTTACGCTGACAATACTCAGATGAGTATCACGAATAGAATAGGGGTAGATTATAGTTTGGAATAGGCTACATTTTTTATCCGGGACACGGGAACGCGGGCGAAGATCCACTACCTATTGAAGATGGAAAGTTGCGTCTAGGAAAATGTCGATTAAATAAACAGCGGTTCTGGCGACACATTAGTGCAATGGTGTCTTGCACCTGGTTTTCCACCCTTGGGTCCCCTTTAACAGCTAAGTCACACAATTATACTATAATAATAATAAAGAAATCGCAGTAAGGAACCTTACACGTAGCACGACTGTCAAGATTTTAGTAAGGTTTGTAATTAGTACCTATAATGCGTCAAGCGTGTCTTTGCATTGTTCTCACATATACGTACAGTATTGGAATATGTATCAGAGACATTGTAGAACATATTTTTTTAAAAAGAGTAACGAATGGAGTTTCTTACTCGTTCTGCTCCATTCGAATCTACATTTTGGAATGAGCACCTAGCTTCACCTAGCTTCACTGACGGACAGATTGAGAGACTATTTTTAATTTTGTATTTGTTAACGTTTCAAAAGTACCAAATTATGGTTTAATTGAAATAAATGCTTTGACATTACTGTTTAGAGATGAACGTGCGACTCCATAGAGACTTGGCTAGTTTTTACATAATGTTTTTGGTTGAATTTCGCTTCTTTTTGTAGAAACTTGGGCATTTTATTCTGGGAATGTTTTGCAATGACAGTCGATTTTTATGTACAAATAGTAGAAAGGGGTACTACCATATCTCTAATACAGCTGAGACTTGCTGATGATTCTGCATTTGATTCGTCAGACCTTCGATTTTTAACATCAAATGACCACTTCATTGAATATTTTTTGTAAGACAACACATGTCAATCTCTGATAGTTTGGTTGGCTCTTGTGGTTTCTTACTAGAGTCACCAGGTACTCCAGATCTTCGATTATCCTAGTTTGTATAGTTTTTACCTTATGTAGCTATTTAACCCTAATTTTACCAAATTTCAGTTCTCTGAGTTTATGAGAAGTACCAGTTCTATTTTGTTTGATGATCATGAGTGAACTCACTCTTCGGAACTAAATGACTTATGATGTGTGACTAATGAGTGGCCGGAATACTCAAACGCTACTCAATTTTAAGTCGTTTAAGTATAGTTCTGTTACTACAAATTCTTTGTGATATGACAGAGACGGCACGATATTTAAGCACGACTTAAAATTGAGTAACGTTTCAGTATTCGGGCATTAAGGACTTGAAATTTTGGATTATAAGTATGTGATTATAGCTTACTGGATGATAAAAATTTCTGTGTTCTGGTCTTATCCAGAGGTTCTCAAATAGGGGCCTGAAAATGCGGTGAAATGGTTCCAGTACAGGATATAGCACGGCAGTATTTGCTTCGCGCTCGACTTGGCGGCAGATGTCAATCCTAGAGTGGGGCAACATTTTTTTATAATTGGAGAACAACAATCGAGATAATAATGAAACGAAAAGGTTTGTAAAAATAAAACAAAACAATGTATAAACTTCATATTCAAATTTATTTCAAAATTCAATACAATATGTGTCATGATGTAACCAATGTAATGTTGATAACTATCTGCGGGGCGACAACACGGGCCGACAGACATCCCAACAAATTATAACAATCGTGAGACATACTAAATTAATTATTGTTTTTGACTTATCCACGTAACTGTTTGGAGATGAATGCTTATGAATACGAGCCTTTAGCATGGCTTGAAACTAGTCGAGTTCCTCATCAAATAATTACGTGAGAAAGCCGAAAAACAATAACAAAATTTAAATTTAGACAGCTACAGTGATCGGACAAACAGGACCTTTTGTGAGGAGGAGGTAATCATTCAATGACTCCTCCCGCCCTGGTTGAGGCGAGAGTGTCACTCTTACTGACTAAACACCACCCCATTTATACTCCTGCATAGAGCTGGAGCCGCAGTAACCCGCTAGATCGTCCGTAAGTCCGGGACTAACTAGACGTTACACCACTTTCATTGTCACGGCGATAAATCGAGCTAATCAATACCAGTATATCATTGTCCCACTTCGTATGATCTTTCAAGACAATCGAAGGTCAAATTATACTGGTTGTGAATATCTTGATATTGCACCGTGTACCAGTCTGTCGACTCGATATAATTGTCATTTTAACAAATAACTATACATATTATAAACATAACAACTATGTTATATGTGAGCGATACACAGCCGTGCTAAATTCAATCATATACGTTTGTTTTAAGTTACATAATCGTGTACTTTAATATCTGCAAGCTATTGTGTGAATTCTAGCTTACTATTTTAATGTCATAATGAATATTATGAAAGAAATTAATATTTTTAATTTATGTCAAGAGCGATCGATGGATAATTGATGATTAATACTTATCATTCTCTAAATTATAAATATAGTTTGTAATGATACAAAAATTGTTTAAGTAACTCCATTTATAATTTAAAATCGATTCGTTAAATGTTCAAGATCTTTATTAAATTAATTTGAGTTCTTCAACAGGAAAAAATAACAAATTCAGTTAAAATATATTAATTGATATATCGATAGACGGAATTTTTAGGTAAATAAAAGAAAAAAATTTTGCAAAGAATTTCAACAACAACTCATTATGTTTTTATAATAACTATCGTGAGACATACTAAATTAACTAAAAATCGCGGGTTACTCACGTGAATACACTGAGAAAAGCTCTACTAGTTTCGAACCACAGAGGGGTTCTTCCTCATGTCACGCAGCCTACTGGAAACTAGTAGAGCTTTTCTCAGTATATTCACGTGAGTAAGCCGCGATTTTTAGTTAACAACTTATTATAGGTAGTACATAATCAACTAGTTATAAGAAATATCAAATGGAATTCATATAAAATACCTAATTCAGAATCACCCTACACTTGAATTTTTTAAAGATATTTTACCATAATATATAATTGGGAAAATTATTCAAATTATGCTGTCCAACTAGTAGAATAATTGAAATTATTAAACACGTATTTTTTATGCCATAAGCCGGTAAACGAGCAGACGGATCACCTGATGGTAAGCAATCAGCGTCGCCCATGGACACACAGAACACCAGAGGGGTTACAAGCGCGTTGCCGGCCTTTGAGGGATACTATGGTGGCTCGGAGGTTAAGGCGCTCGCTTCTCATAAATGAGGGTGCGAGTTTAAAACCTGGCAAATTATAATGTGACGCTTTCCGAGTTATATGTACTTTCTAAGATTATTTAGACACCACTGACAAACGGTGAAGGAAAACATCGTGAGGAGACCTGGGCTTATAATTTTTAATTATAAGTTTGAAATCGCCAACCCGCATTGAGCAAGCGTGATGGTTAATGATCAAACCTTCGTGTGAGAAGAGGCTTTTGGTCGCAGTGGGACTTTCATTTGATGAAAACAAAAGTACGTGTATAATATGTTCTTTTATTATTATCTAAGTGATAGACTTATAATATTGACCGTTATCGCCTACTCTCTTTTAACTAAGAGTTACTTAGGGTGTGGAGCACCTAAATTAACCCCTATCTGTACTGTTAGGAGTAAACTTAAAGGTTCGTGAAAACCAAATAGGTCTTTACTTTAGGCGTCTGTTAAAATTTGAGAGAGATTTGTAAAACAGGCATTTGATGTTTAATTTTAATCACCATATCGCTCAATAACAAACAAAATATGAACTATATCTTAAATAAATCATTTAAGTCTTAGTTTTTTCTTTAAAAATGGATTTATAGGTGACGGGGTAGACGGTTTCAAGTTCGTTTTGGTGGGTTTCTTAGACCCATCAAATGGTATGTTCGGACTTTGTCTAACACTCTTGTAATAGTCGACTGGTTGTTGCATAGAATTATTCTTCAATACGAATTTAACTTTCTTAGGCGTACTGAATTGACAGTTTTCAGTTTTCTTATCAAATTTGTTTATATGCTTCTGGAACTGTTTAACTTTATTGACAACTACTGTTGGATTTTTAGCTATCTTCGTGTTTTTTTCATTTTTATTATTAACATTCTGTGTCGCTACGGATTTTTGATTACTTTTTACTTTTTCAGACTTCTTATTCTTATCTTTCACTAAAACTTCACTTCTTGAGTCAGTTTTCTTATTATTGTTATTTTGGACTGCATTAACTTTAGTCTTATCAGTCAACGGTTTATCTTTAACCGCACTTTTATCTTTATTCTTTTTACTTTTCAGTTCTATTTTTTTACTTTTATTATTATCTAGTTTAGTATGTCCGTTTTCTATCTTCTTATTCTTATTATTAGTATTAGTTTCATCTGCTACATTATTAGCATCCTTGCTGGTCACTGTATGTTGTTTGTCATCGTTATTTCCGTTTAATTTCCGTTGCTTTCCTTCACTCGATGGTTTTCCGTCGTGTTTCCGTTTCTTATTTTCCTTATTATTGTTGCTTGCGTTAGGTTTTTGTTTCTTAGCCGCTGGTTCTTTAGTTTCTTCAATTTGCCAGCCGTTCTGTGGAGGGGAATGGTTATTTTAGTGATATGTCTAGTTTAAGTCAGCCTCGTTGGCCCAGCGGTCGCATGTGCGACTGCCAAAATGCAGTGCGACTGGGCTTTTCAAAAATTCTCAGCAAGTAGTAAGTAGCACGGAGTCTGGAATTGTGCCCGGTATCCGGTATACTAGGCACAATCAACAGCAATAGACTCACCCCTTATTATATGGGAATCATAACATGAATAGTGAAAAGTGGGTGTTACATTGTACAGCGGCATAATGTACACCTCTGCCTACCCCTTCAGTGATAAAAGGCGTGATGTAGGCCTTGAATTACTGCAGGAGACAGAGTGAATTAAGCCTAAAGGCACAAAAAGAGACTGTACAACTGGGATAATAGAGACTGTGATGTCGGTCAATTGTGGGTACTTTGATAACATTAATTATTGTATGTGTGCGGCAGCCAGTCTGCGAATATACGCCTTGTAGCTAAGTCGTTGTTTGATTACTATTCCGATATTTCTCAGAGACATATAAATATAAGGATATACTCACAGGAGCAGTGTTGCTGAGCTTCTGGTTGGCTGTGTCGAGCTCCTCCACGATGGAGGCCCCTGACCGACTCTTGGCTAGTAATCGCTTGCGGTGCTTGCGACTTAGACCTAAAGGAAGGCATGGGTTTAATTAATGATATGAAACGATGTAACTCGAAGACAGCTGGCCAGATTATCAAGACATTTGATTTATTTTATTGAATTTGTCGTTTGAGAAACAATCGTCGATTGCGTCTAAGAGGACAGAACATTAATTGTGTATGTTTTCGTATCTACAAAAAAATAACATTCATTTAGTAGCGACCCGCCCCGGCTTCGCACGGGTGCAATATGCATGTATTATACATATAAAACTTCCTTAAGAATCACTCTATCTATTAAAAAAAACGCACCAAACCCGTTGCGTAGTTTTAAAGATCTACGCATTCATAGGGACAGACAGACGGCGGATAGCGACTTTGTTTTATACTATGTAGTGATTTTAAAAAAATCTCAGTAGTAGCACGGGGACTGAAATTGTGCCGGGTATATGGCAATAGGCTCACCCCTTTTACAAGGGACTCATAACATAAATAGTGAAAAGTGGGTCACTTCTGCCGACCCCTTTGGGGATAAAAGACGTGACATTACGTTATTTAAACAATATCATGAATAAAAAAAATATATCTTGGACAGAATTAAGACAAATCAATTTCATATCTCCATGACATACCTCTAAGCGCGAGTTCATCGCTCGCAGTGATGAGCTTCTTCTCTAGCGCGTGCAGAGATTGAACTGCCTTCTTCTGCTTCACAGGGGGGGAGGAGGCCTCCACTACGGTAGGGGGGAGCCGGAGGGGGTATTCGTTCGCGGCTAGCTTCTCGAAACTGTAATATAATAATTTAGTGTTTTTATGGAATACTAGCTACTTCTGCGCGGTTTCACACGCTTTGCTCAGCTCCTATTATAGCTATAGGTCGTAGCGTGATGTTTTATAGCCTATAGCCATCCTCGATAAATGCACTATCCAAGACAAAAAGAATTATTCAAATCAGACTTGTAGTTACGGAGATGAGCGCGTTCAAACAAACAAACAAAAAATAAACTCTTCAGCTTTATAATATTAATATTAGTATAGATATAGATGAACAGCTAGATCACCTGATGGTAAAGTAATTAAAACACAAATAAATACTACTTATTTTGTAAATAGAATAGAATAAACGTTTTTGTAAACAGGCCACAAAGGAGCCGTCCATAAATTACGTCACACGTTAGGGGTACGGGGGGGGGGGTCGACGAAGTGTGACATTGTGTGGGGAGGGAGGGGGTCGACGAAGTGTGACATTGTGTGGGGAGGGGGGTCGACGAAGTGTGACATTGGTGGGGGGGAGGGGTCGACGAAGTGTGACATTGTGTGGGGAGGGAGGGGGTCGACGAAGTGTGACATTGTGTGGGGGGGGGGGGGGGGTCGACGAAGTGTGACATTGTGTGGGGAGGGAGGGGGTCGACGAAGTGTGACATTGTGTGGGGAGGGAGGGTCGACGAAGTGTGACATTGTGTGGGGAGGGAGGGGGTCGACGAAGTGTGACATTGTGTGGGGAGGGAGGGGTTCGACGAAGTGTGACATTGTGTGGGGAGGGAGGGGGTCGACGAAGTGTGACATTTTGTGGGGAGGGAGGGGGTCGACGAAGTGTGACATTGTGTGGGGAGGGAGGGGGTCGACGAAGTGTGACATTGTGTGGGGAGGGAGGGGGTCGACGAAGTGTGACATTGTGTGGGGAGGGAGGGGGTCGACGAAGTGTGACATTGTGTGGGGAGGGTCCTTAAACTTTGTGATCTCACATTTCAGAAACTATTATACACGAAATATAATTGTATTGTTTTTTATTTTATTTGATCTGGTATTAATATTGTTTTAAAGTAATTAAAAAAAAACTGATTTCGGAACCGCTGTTGTCATTCAATAATTTGTATACATACATAATTATGCAAAATATGACGTCACACTAGGGGGTGTGGGTCTCACACATGTGACTAGCTGTGACAAGGAAGGGGGGAGGGGGGGAAAATATCATGAATTCTGTATGACGTAATTTATGGATGACCTCAAAATAGTAACTTGTTCACGTCAATTATTTCAAGTTAAGCTACATGTTCTGTCAGTTCGGCTTCATTCTATTGGACTATTCTTAGGAGCAGCACCAAAACAATTTCAGAAGTCAGTCTCTTTTAAAGTCTACATAAAATAAACTGATAGTTTTGAAATCACAGATTCATAGCTTTTTCCTAATTTAGGCAAACATTTTAATAATAAGAAACCAAAGTCTTATCAACTAAGAATTGAGCCGTGAACTTATTACTACCTTATCGTCATCATCAACAGTCTATAAGCGTCCACTGCTGACCAAAGCCTCTTCTCACACGAAGAAGGTTTGAGCACTGATCAATACGGGTTGGCGATTACAAACTTATAATTAGAAATTATAAGCCCAGGTTTCCTCACGATGTTTTCCTTCACCGTTTGTCAGTGGTGTCTAAATAATCTTAGAAAGTACATATAACTCGGAAAAAGTCACATTGGTACTTGCCGTTGGTAGGTTTCGGTCCCGCACCCTCATGTATGAGAAGCGGGCGTCTTAAATCTCCGGGCCACCCCGATATTTATTATTACTACATACTTAAAGTCAGAATTATTGAACGTCTCACCGCTCCAAACATATCCGCACCCTCCGCTGCGTGCTAGCGTGTGTCCTGGCGAGCTCGCCGCGCAGTATGTCGGCTAGCTCGCGGGCCGGCACTGGCAGGCACGGGAGCTCCACGTCTACTCGACCTGCACGGGGGTCTAGCGGCTTTTCACTGGAATAATGAAAAAAAGAATTTTAACATTGTAGTCTTACACTAATAAATAAACCTTGCGGTGATACAAAGGCACGCATCATGCAAGTTATTTAGGGATGTTCGAAACACTTCAATAATATGGACGGTGTGAGAGAGCCGTCTGCACGAATGGGCCGGCTCGACCGGAGCGATACCACCTACGAGCAGAAAACCATAGTGAAACAACGCTTGCGTTGTATCATCGAGTGAGTGAGGCTAACGGAGGCCCAATTACCCCCCCCCCCTCCCTCCCTGTCCCCAGTCTCCCCAATCCTCAACCTCCGAATCCCCAAAAGGCCGGTAACGCACTTGTAACGCCTCTAGTGTTCCAGGTGTTCGTGTGCGGCGCCGATTGCTTACCGTCAGGTGATCCGTCTATGAAAAATTAGATGATGAAAATGATTTTTATTTTAATGTCTGTCACGTATTTTCGTTTTCTTCCTTATCTCACGGAAACAAATACTTTCAACGATGTTATTGATTTGAAACATCACGTGACGTTACTTCGATGTACGTTTTATACGTAGAAATGACGTAGCTACCTCCCAATCCTAAACTTTGATTCGTTTTATCTAAGTATTGTTTTCTTATACGACAAAATAAAAAAAAACATGTGTCTAATATTAATTCATTACAAACTGATGGACAAAATAGATTATTTCATTTTCATACTCCGTTATCATATCCCGAGTATAAAGAACTCCACCAATGAAAGAATCACTTCAACCATAATGTTAATTTCTCACCTGGTTTCCTCTTCACGGTCACCATCACCGTTCTGCTGTTCCTCATCATCGTCTTCGGAGTCTGACACAAGTTCCAAAGCTTCAGGTCCACCTTCCGGGCAACCCATCTGAAATATTGCAGTATTGTTTAATACGATCATTTAGTTGCAATGAGACTGCCTCGTTGGCCGAGTGGTCGTAAGTGCGACTGCCGGGCAAGGGGTCTCGGGTTCGATTCCCCGGTCCGGCAAAGTATTACTGGGTTTTTTTTAATATTCTCAGTAGTAGCACGGAGTCTGGAATTGTGCCTTGTATATGGCAATGGGCTCACCCCCTATTACATGAGACTCATAATATAAATAGTGAAAAGTGGGTGTTACATTGTACAGTGGTATAATGTGCACCTCTGCCTACCCCTTACGGGATATAAGGCGTGATATTATGTTATTATATGAGACATCCTTGCTATATTCATGAGCCCCACTGTGTCTCGAAATTAGTGTGGTGTTGTGTTAAATTGTCTATTTATCAAACTAGGCTATAAAACATCACGCTATGGTCAATAGGAGCCGCGGGACTAGCTAGTATAGATATAAGTAAGATACGAAAGTTCGTAATTGGGTTTGTGTATGTGATTATTATTCAATTATGCCAAAACAGTTCAAGGAATACGGTACTTGCCAACTAGTCAAATTCAATACTTGTTTCGTACAGTCAAAAATGATAGTTTTCTATGAATTTTGTACGAGATTGTGTATTATGACGTCACGGTTTTTTAGCGTCGAACTGCATACTTATTTCTTAAACATTTGCTGAAAAAATTCTAAAATTAAGTTGTTTATAAAATCAATTAATGAAAGTGTGATTATTTTTCAATATTTTTTTTTTGTATTGGACAGTCGTAATTATTTATTTTTGTGTTTATATAATAACTATCGTGAGACATACTAAATTAACTAAAAATCGCGGGTTATTCACGTGAGTAACCCGCGATAAGTAAACTAGTAGAACTGTTCTCAGTATATTCACGTGTGTGACTGGAGATTTTTGTTATTTTATTTTTGATATGTGTATAAGAGAGCTAGCGACCTGGTGCCAGGCGGCGGTGACGGCGGAGTACCGCAGGCCGGGCTCGTGAGTTGTAGTGACTGTATAAGAGAGCTAGCGACCTGGTGCCAGGCGGCGGTGACGGCGGAGTACCGCAGGCCGGGCTCGTGAGTTGTAGTGACTGTATAAGAGAGCTAGCGACCTGGTGCCAGGCGGCGGTGACGGCGGAGTACCGCAGGCCGGGCTCGTGAGTTGTAGTGACTGTATAAGAGAGCTAGCGACCTGGTGCCAGGCGGCGGTGACGGCGGAGTACCGCAGGCCGGGCTCGTGAGTTGTAGTGACTGTATAAGAGAGCTAGCGACCTGGTGCCAGGCGGCGGTGACGGCGGAGTACCGCAGGCCGGGCTCGTGAGTTGTAGTGACTGTATAAGAGAGCTAGCGACCTGGTGCCAGGCGGCGGTGACGGCGGAGTACCGCAGGCCGGGCTCGTGAGTTGTAGTGACTGTATAAGAGAGCTAGCGACCTGGTGCCAGGCGGCGGTGACGGCGGAGTACCGCAGGCCGGGCTCGTGAGTTGTAGTGACTGTATAAGAGAGCTAGCGACCTGGTGCCAGGCGGCGGTGACGGCGGAGTACCGCAGGCCGGGCTCGTGAGTTGTAGTGACTGTATAAGAGAGCTAGCGACCTGGTGCCAGGCGGCGGTGACGGCGGAGTACCGCAGGCCGGGCTCGTGAGTTGTAGTGACTGTATAAGAGAGCTAGCGACCTGGTGCCAGGCGGCGGTGACGGCGGAGTACCGCAGGCCGGGCTCGTGAGTTGTAGTGACTGTATAAGAGAGCTAGCGACCTGGTGCCAGGCGGCGGTGACGGCGGAGTACCGCAGGCCGTGGTCGCTCTGCCGCAGTAGTTGCGTCATGACGCGTCGCGCGGCGGCGGCCGCAGTCCGCAGCGCGCCGCCGCACATGTAGGCGCACACCGGCCGGACCAGCTCCACCAGGCTCGCCGCCGGGATGGCGCCGTCCGACACCTGGGGACGTCAATACAATGATTATGTGGTGTAAAAATCCAGATTACAAAATAAATCTTATTACCTAAACAAAGTCAATAAGTCGTTTCCTTTTTAAATACGTTGCCCCACACTAGGATTTCCTACTGTGTTCAAACGTATTCACACGGTTACAAACATACAAGTTCACATATAAAACAAACACACAGACACGAAACTACAATCCGTAGATCCCACAACAGTAGCTAGTAATACATAAATGCTCATTATTTTCTTTTACGATCTCTTTGACTGTATCTAGGTGTTACATTGTTCTCACACAATAAAACCAACAAAACTATGTAACTAGAGAATTGTATTGTGAACCTGATTGAAAAAGAGTAACCTATGGAGTTTCTTGCTCGTTCTTCTCCATAGGAATCTACACCTTGGAATGAGCAAATAACTTCACTTTTAAATTTTGTATTGACATTCAAAAGTACCTTCCTGGTCTAATTGAAATAAATGATTTTGACTTTAAATGAATTGGTTGTTACCTTGGCGATTTCCTCCAAGTAGCAGTCTAGTATATGTAGCAACATGGAGAGTGCGTTGCGCGCGTAGTGAGGCGTCTTCAGGGCGAGGATACCTGGATATATTATGAGATTGAGTTAGTAATATAAAACACAATTTATAATAGACTAGCGACCCGCCCCGGCTTCGCACGGGTGCAATATGCATTTATTATACATATAAACCTTCCTCTTGAATTACTCCATCTATTAAAAAACACCGCATCAAAATCCGTTGCGTAGTTTCAAAGATTTAAGCATACAAAGGGACATAGGGACAGAGAAAGCGACTTTGTTTTATACTATGTAGTGATACGGCACTGAAAGTTACACTGTAATGAAATGTAAATCAATTTATATACATTTAAAATTTTTGTTTGGAATTCATAACATAACATCACGCCTTTTATCCCCGAAGGCGTAGGCAGAGGTGCACATTATACCACTGTACAATGTAACACTCACTTTTCACTATTTATGTCATAAGCCTGATGTAATAGGGGGTGAGCCTATTGCCATATACCGGGCACAATTCCAGACTCCGTGCTACTACTGGGATGTTTTTTAAAAGCTCAGTAGTACTTTGCCCGACCTGGGAATCGAAGCCGAGAATCCTTGCCCAGCAGTGGCACTGGCGACCACTCGGCCAACGACGCGATCTTTTTAGGAGCAGGCACGAATATACACATCCTCCAGTGTTGCGGGTGTACACGGTTGGAGCTGATCGCTTACCATCAGGTGATCCGTCTGCTGGTTCGCCTTCTATTCCAGTAAAACAATAGGACAAGTACCAATAGTAGTTCATCTTGTAAAAAATGACTTAAGCATGTATAGAGGTTGTATGGAACATTGTGCCACTGACCGTCACTCCCAGCCAGTGTAGCCGCGTACAGTTTACAACTCTTGACGCTCCACTGCCGGCGCTGCAGGCAACGCAGGCTGGCGCGCAGGTAGCGACGGACCAACTGTAGAGAGAGTCACAGATATATACACACTAGCTTTTAGCTGCGGCTTCGCCTCGCATCACAAAAGGATAAAAAGTAACATATGTCATCAATACACACAGCGCCATCTATACCAATACTTTTAATACCCCTCGGGAATATCAAATTTTTCCGGGATAAAAAGTACCCTATTATTTAATCCGGACTTCTTACTATACTGTCTGCAAAAATTCAAAGCAATCGGTTTAGTAGTTACGGCGTGAAAGCGGAACAAATAAACAAACTCACTTTCTGATTTATAATATTAGTAAGGATAAGCCCAGGTTTCCACACGATGTTTTCCTTCACCGTTTGTCAGTGGTGTCTAAATAATCTTAGACAGTACAGAGAAAGGTCCACTGCCACCGTAAGACTACTATCGGTTGCGCTGCAGCGCTTATACACACACACACGCATATTTGTATCCGTGTGCGTACGCGTGCGTGTGTTTATGCGTACGCACGCGTGTTTATGCACATTAATATGAAATTACTTACGCATTGCCATGTGAACATCACTCACGGTCGACTTTTGACCTTTGACCATGTAACTCGAAAAGTCACATTGGTACTTGTCAGGTTTTAAAGCCGCTCGATATTAACAGTTATACCGTAAAATACTCACCATAAGAAATTTGTCAGTGCGATGCTGGTCGAGTCCGTACCACTCAGTGGCCAGCACTCGGAGCCCTGCCTTGAACATCAGCAGAGCAGCCCGGAGCTGCGAGGCAGGGAACAGATCTAGGACTTCTGATATCTTCTCGCATAGGTCCTCCTGGAAATAAGTGGTGGATATTGTAGATTAAAGTAATATTTATATTAAGGCATTGCTATAGGTGTTTTAATTTATTTATTTAATAAACCACTGACTTTGACTGACTGATTGACTGCCTCGTTGGCCAAGTGCGATTGCCAGGGAAGGGGTCTCGGGTTCGATTCCCGGATCGGGCAAAGTGTTACTGAGTTTTTAAAAATCTCAGTAGTAGCACGGAGTCTGGAATTGTGCCCAGTATATGGCAAAAGGCTCACCCCCTATTACATGGGACTCGTAACATAAATAGTGAAAAGTGAGTGTTACGTTGTACAGTGGCATAATGTGCACCTCTGCCTACCCCTTCGGGTATGTTATGTTATTGAACCATCAAAAAATGCTTGAAATAACTGAACATTACAGGGTTCACTCCAAAGAGGTTCACATACAACTTTTCATCAGTCTTGCCTCATGTAACACACTCCACGCCATTATTAACATTAATTTTCGACAGTAGAAAAATTTTTTATTACCGACGACGACCTACCATACCGACGACACGGCCCCCTGGCCAGCAATAGGGTAGTTTCCTAAATTTTATTTTAATGTCCGTCTGGTACATTAATTTAAAACTTTAGACACGTATTTTTTCTTTTCTCACAAAATTAAATACTTTTGACGATTCTATGATTTAAAATATCTTGTGACGTCACATTTACTACATTTTATAGGGTAGCATAACGACCGCTCCTAAAGTTACAGCGTGCCACATTTTGTAGCACGTTATGACGTAACGACCTCCCACTCGTAAACTTAGCGCCATTTTATCTAAGTATTGGAACTTAATACGAGAAAATTAAAAAAATACGTGTCTAATATTTATTCATTATCTAACGGACGGACTAATTAGATTTTTAATTTTGGTATCCTGGAAACTACCCAATTGCCCTTGCATCCACATGACCAATGCAATAGTCATAAGCTAGCATACAATATAAAAAATATACTTGCACTAATACCTGATTGAACAAGAAATAAAAAGTTACAATTTCCATCTCACCTGTACAAGTGGCTTGTCGGACATCCACACGGCATAAAACAATCCTTTCCACACTCGGATAAAATCATCTTCTTTGAACTCTGGAAATAACGATACCTTGTTAGATCATAACTCAAATAAATTACCAAAATAAATACACAAATGTGTGTCCACTACTTGACTTAGACCTTGTCCACAAAGGGCGAATTCGCCTCGAAACGATTCGCGCGTTAGTTAGATTCTAGACACCATTACATCGCGTCGAGAACCTAACGGGTAACTGGGGTTCCGGCTCGACGTGCAGGAGAAGGAACGGGATGGTTTTTAGTCAGTAAGAGTCTGACACTCCCTCCCGCCTCATCCAGGCGGGAGCAGTCATTAAATGATTTTCCCCACTTAAAAAAAAAAAAATACATTGCGTACTACTCAACTCGCGCTTGATTCGCGCGTTTTGCGCGCGAGTTGAGATACTAGGGAGGCTGTGCGTCGTTAACGCGCGAACTTTAGAGCGAGCTTTCAACTCCATGTATAACTGAATTCCTCTGACGTACCTTGTGACGTACGTGCGTGACAGAATCGCGGCAAATTCGTCCTTTCTGGACAAGCTCTAATAAAGTAATATTGATTGTTAAACAAAAGGTAGCTACAGTTAAAAAAAAACAACAATTTCTCCTTTAACTTATACCAGTTACTCTCATGGTTTCACCTATTCTGCTCAGCTCCTATTGATTGCAGCATGTTGTTTTATAACGTATAGTATTACTCTATAAACAGACTACCCAATACAAAAAGAATAGGATAGTAGATTTTTTTATGTCCGTTTCGTAGATTATTTTAAAATATTAAACACATATTTTTCTTTCCTTATAAAATTAAACACTTTTGACGATTCTATGATTTAAAATATCATGTGACGTCGCAATTGACTACATTTTATAGGGTAGCAAGACATAACAACCGCTCCTAAACTTAACTCCGTTTTTTCTAAGAATTGTTTTCTTATACGACAAAATAAAAAAAAAAATTTCGTTATCTAACTAATTACATTTTTAATTTTGATACACTGTCTACTAACCTATTTTTCAAATCGGATCAGTAGTTACTCTTCAGCTATATATAAATAATAAAAAAAGTATAAGTATGTAAAGTAGTGTAGTAGATAAAGGAGAAATTGTAAAACTAAACATAGAACTATTTTTATGACTTTTATATTTATTGAAAAACAATACTTAAAAACGGAAGTAAGTAGTTTCAGTTTAAGTACTGTATACTTCATTTACTGCAGCATTGAATATAGTGGCGCAATATAATAGCAAGAACATAATAAACATGACTTTAACAACATTTTGATAATAAACAATACATTCCAAGCCACAGGAAACACATATGACACGTGTTTGTAACAGCCTAAGTAATAAATCAACAAGTATTGTAATACCATAGTCAAAAACATGTTGATTTCAAATCTACAAACAAAACCTTAACAAATCTATGTTCTTAATATACACATAGGCATATAGTACAGGTTTCTAGCGCATGCCAGACAACGCCCCAAGACCTAGACAGCTACAAGTTAATGCAGACGAAATCAATAACCGACTAAGGTATTGTTTTGTTTCGAAAAGTATAACAAGCATGGCCATTTTGATAAAAATAAGAGAAAATTGTTAGTTATTGAGGTTTTACAGGCTAGATATAAGTGTAATATGGACGTAGGTATAGTCTTTTAGTTATAAAAATACCTTGTTTCGACAAAACCACTTGTTTTGTAGAGGTAGCGCACATATGTTATTTTGAGGTTAAGTACTAAAAGACATGAAAAACGAAGATTATTGGCCGTATAAGCATTATTGGATGAAATTAAGATGTTATAAGGTCATAAACTTACCGTAATTCTTCTCGAAACAGTTTAAAAGCCATTTTTTAAGCGTTTTCAGGACTCTGTCACGAGTTTTCTTCTCGTTTCCAGAAAGTAAGCGTGCAAACTTAATTTCTTGGGCTACAACAAGAACTTGCTCTTTTTTAGGTTTCATTTTAATTTTCTTCTTTACTCTATCCTTCTTTTCTTTAGTTTTTTCAGGGACTTTCATTTTGGCTGCGTGTATTTAGAAAAACAATCGACCACCATGCGACAATCGCGTTTTAAATCATTTGACAACTGCCGTCTGACTTTGACATTATAGAATTGACAGTTAGACGTTTTTAACGACTGTGTTGTCATTAAAAGAATACTTTTTCCAATTAGTACAATTTACAATAGTTGTCGTGGAATGCGTGGAATGGGAGTTGCAAGTGTTCGGGTTCGATTCCCGGTCCAGGTAAAATATCATTAATATTTTCGGTATTACAAATCTTTCACAGTAGTCGCATGGATTCATTAATTAGAATGGAGATTAACCTCCTATGTAATAAGTAATAACATAGGACTATAAGATGAGATTTAATGTAATTGGTCATTATTATGCGCATCTCTGTTTACACCTTTGTAAGTAAAAGGCGTAACGATGTATAAAAATACAATGCAATTTTATTTTTAAAACGTTGACTGCTAATAGAAATAGAATGTATCTAGCATTAAATTTCATTGAGGTCCATTTGTCGAATCACAGTAGCCATTGGAAATTAATGTCTAATGATTTGACAGATCGGTTGGCCACTACAAACGTGCGAACTGTCATAAGTCCCACCCACATGCACGAAGCGCTTCGCATCAAGCTTCCTTGTGCGTACTGCTAAGGAGTGGAATTCTTTCGCCAGAGTCTGTGTTTCCTGAAGGGTATAACCTGGGTAGGATGATGTAACACGTCGTCCCATAAGCAACCTATTCACTCGGGCTTTGAAGACACCCAGAATTCCACTCCTTAGCAGTACGTACAAGGAGGCTTAAATCGTGCAGTCTTCATGCAACAGGACTCTAATCTCAACACAGGTTAAAAATAAAACGATTCTCAATAAAAGTATAACATTTTATTAGATTTCATATAAGAATAATTTCGTAGGCACTTTGTATAGCAAACACTTACTAGCCAACAACAACGTACAAACAGCATTATTTACAAATTATTGTTATTATATAATTATGTATTTACTTAAGTAACGAATAAAAATAATCTCCATAATTTCATTTTGTTGGAATTTAATACAAAAAGCTGAATAAATAAGAAACATTTTACCTTAAAACATTCGTGAGACATACTAAATTAATTATTATGTTTTCGGCTTACTCGCAACTCGACTAGTTTCAAGCCATGCTAGAGGCTCATATTCATGAGGAGCATTCCGCGACCCGCGACTCGGCGACTGTCGCGCTGCTACTGGCTACTCGGCGACTGTCGCGCTGCTACTGGCTACTCGGCATGGCTTGAAACTAGTCGAGTTCCCCGTCAAACAGTTCCGTGAGTAAGCCGAAAACAATAATTAACATTTTACCTTATAAATGACGTATATTAATAAGCTGTTTTAATATAAAAAAATCCCGGAGGAAACAATATCTTTTTACTAAAAATAAACCCACTGTAGCTCATGGTAGAAATTTTTGTTTTCTTTCAAAATCATATTTTTTTTAATTGACATTTTATAATCTATATATTGTATCTTAGATATCATCACTACATAATATAAAACAAAATCGCTATCCACCGTCTGTCTGTCCCTATGTATGCTTAGATCTTTAAAACTACGCAACGGATTTTGATGTGGTTTTTTTTAACTAGATGGAGTGATTCTTAAGGAAGGTTTATATGTATAATACATGCATATTGCACCCGTGCGAAGCCGGGGCGAGTCGCTAGTAATTAATATTTCTGTGTATAGTATTTTATGAACATTAATAACAAAAACATTATGTTGCAAAACCGACTCCAACCCCCTCTTTCCTTGACGTCGATTAAATAATATACTAAAACCTTCTCCTAAGTGTAACAAACACTTATCTGGAAATCGTATCAAAATCGGGTCAGCCTATTGCGAGATACTGGCACACATAGATACATACAGGTCAAACCAAGACCCCCCTTTATTTAAAGACGGTTAAATACATCGGCTGCTAAGTTCAAAATATCATTTAATAGACTTTCAACCATAACCTTTGATTTTACAGTTGATAATTAGTTATCATGTTCAGTGTTCATTGCCAAGAATTTGCTAAATAGAATTTGAACCTTATCAGCTTGGAAATTAAGTTGAAAATCGATTAATGGAATTGTATACATATTACCTTACAAATATAGACATTTGACTCTTTTTTTAAATAAAATTTATAAATACTTAACATTGGAATGTTACAATCAAAAGCTGAAGCATTAAGGCGTTTGTTCATACGATTCTAACACTTAATTTAATTATTATAGGTCACATTTTTGCATACACGCGCTAACTAATCAACCTACTTTTATGTGTTGAAAGATTTTCAATCTTATCCCTTTTGGTATTAAGTCGAAAATCTAAATTTTTAATAGGTTGATTCTTTTTTTAAGTGTCAATGTACATTTATACAAGGTGTTGTTTTAAAGCCGCGTCATTTTCTAGGAGGTAACTCAGCTAGCGATTCTGAGTCCGAATCAATAAAAAATATTGTAGGTAAATATTTTTCATTTTTCTGTAAATTGCAGAAATCCGTAAGTGCGAACTACACGCCGCCGTCTTGTAACTAGCTTTATAACGCGGCTTAACACACACAAACTCAAACACGTAATTGATATTATTCCTAATTCCATAAATCTCCAATAAGAAACATTGCTGTCGCTTATTATGAAATACTGTCAAATTTAAACGATTTATTATAGCCGTATTTTTAACTATTGGCCCGAAACTTTTTCTTACTTTGAACCTTTATGACATGCCCTCGAGAAATGACACGGTTTCAAAACTACACCTAGTATAGAACTAGCTTCTGCCAGCGGATTCGCCCGCGTTCCCGTGGTATAAAAAGTACCCTATGTGTTATCCCAGACAATAACCTACCCCGTTACAAATTTCACTCCCATCCCTTCTAATTATCTGATGGTAAGCAATTAGCGTCGCCCGACACCTGAAGCACCAAAGGCGTTACAAGTGCGTTACTGGACTTTTGGGGATTAGGAATTTGAGTATTGTTGGGGATTCGGGGATTGGGGAAGGGAGGGGGGATAATTGGGCCTTCGGTAACCTCATTGAGACGACGAAACACAACGCAAGCGTTGTTTCACTACGGTTTTCTGCTCGTTGGTGGTATCACTCCGGTCGCCGGAGGGGTTATAAGTGCGTTACCGGCCTTTTGGGGATTTTGGGGATAAGGAGTTTGAGGATTGATGGGGATTCATGGATTGGATAGATTGGAGAAGGGAGGGGGGTAATTGAACCTCCGGTAACCTCACTCATACGACGAAACACAACGCAAGCGTTGCTTCACTATGATTTTCTGCTCGTTGGTGGTATCACTCCGGTCGAGCCAGCCCAGCAGTGCCGAAGCAAGGCTCTTTTGACGTGATTGAGAACAAACATACATACAAACTAAAAAAATAATTCGCAATTATAATATTAGTAAAGATCTAACTATATGAGCTTTTCCTAATTCATTAATTATTATTAAATAATAACTTAACTTTAAACTAAAAAAATATTATAACAAAAAACATAATTTAAGCTAAAACTACTAACAAAATATAACTAAAATATCTATTCTATAAAGAGATATAGAAAGTAAGGAGAATTATCTTTTAGAATACATCTGTCACCACTGCTACTCTTCCCGCGGGTATCGTATACCCGACTAAGGGACTACACATTTGCCATAGACCGGGCAGCAGCGCTCTCTGATAAACCTGAACCTTTTATACTGCGATCTCCAACCTGCATGCGAATTCGGAAATTACGACAAACTCCACATATATAGTCATAGTTATTACATAACAGGGTAAAATTCTCATGATTTTTGTTATATTTATGTGGGATGGTATGTGTATGTGTATCCGAATACTTGGTGAAGTAATGTAAGATGTTGAGTGAATGAATCCGAACGGACGGAATGAATGGGTATGATTGATATTGATAGAAGATGGCAGACAGTTGATGAGCGAAGACGTTGCTCTATTCAATAATATTGACGTGACATCGTCTTATAAATTGGTTTGCCGGGTGACACTTCAAGAAACTGCGTTACGCTCCGCTCACGTTATGCGCTCACAATGAGAGCGAGTGAGAGGCACGCGTCCCTTCCACTCGGGCATGGTTAGCCCGCCTAAGAGCGAGAGAGACAGACATAATATTTTACCACTCAGTCGTTGTCACGTAAAACTTTCGCCCGTATACCGACTTTATTATAAAAGACGGTTATTTTTTTAAAATACATAGTTTATTTTACTGAAACCCCTAGACCCTACATTTAGTTTAACCCGTGGTACACCGGGACGTAGATCTACGCGAGACACAATATAGTTTCTATTGTCTCAAATACCGACACTTAAGAATTTTTTTTAAGCGGGGAATATCATCGTATGACTGCTCCCGCCTGCGTGAGACGGAAGGGAGTGTCAGACTCTTACTGACTAAAAACCACCCCGTTCCTTCTCCTGCACTTCGAGCCTTCTTCAAGAGGTTAATAGAGCTTCAAAATTCAAGTAAACAGAGATTACAAACTATTTTTAATATTCGGAGCTACTTTTTATAGCAATTTTCTTCACGAAAGATAATTTTCCTTACCTCTATACTCCATAGAACTAAATGGAGGCTCTTTTTTACTCACCAGGTGGCGCACGTGTAGTAGATGTTATTGTCCAATCACTTCAGCTGTCAAATATTGAACATCCAATGATGTGACACTAGCTACTTCCCTATTGGATGAAACACGAGAGGGACACACTAGCGACACCTGGTGAGCATTTACGGTAGGCCTCATTAAATATATTATTATACGTTATTTTTCTTTTAACAAAACTGCCTTATCCACAAATGCCATCGCCCGATTTCTCCTCTCTCTCTCTCTCTCTCTCTCTCTCTCTCTCTTTTACTTCTCTTTTTTATTATATAGGCCAATTGATTACACATGATGGTAAGCAATTAGCGCCGCCCATGAACACCCGGAACACTAGAGAAGTTATAATTTCGATGCCGGCTTTTTAGGGGTCAGGGATTTCAAGGTTGGGAATGGGGAATCAAGTCTCCGGTAACCTCACTCACACGGCTCCACACAACGCAAGCGTTGTTTTACATCTTTTCTGTGAGGCCGTGGTCGTAATGCCATCTCTTATTAGACTCTCGAACTAAACCTACCATCAGCGCCATCTGTTATTAGAATCCACAACTAATCATCGTCCCCGAACATTGACAGAGGATCTTCAAATACTGGTTCTGTAGGTTTAGCTGGTTCTTTTGTGGCCGTCGTTCTAGCAGGTTGGGGGTTGGGTTCTGTGGAGGGTAAAAATTTTCTAAATGTAGATGTTACAGTTAGGTGTTTATTCGACGTAGAAAATGTGGTTTTGAGAATATAATCAAAATACATATTTCACTATTCGACATTAATGTCGAATGTTCGCATACTTGGCAGTCGCGCAAGTAGTGTTGAGTCTATCCCCGAGATTTGCAACATATGCTTTGCGCAATATGAAATTAAACAGAAAAAAATCCTTTATACGACGATTTTCCAGAAACCGAGACAATCCATTACTTGTACATTACGTGACCCAGGAATCGAACTGAAAACCCCCTGCTCAGCACTAATGACAGCGACTATTCAACCAATGAAGCATTTTTTATAACTAAAATGATCAAAACATTAAAAAAGTAACTCACCGACAGCCTTCCTCGTCTTAACACCAAACAGATCATCATCATCATCATCATCACCAAACAAGGATCCCTTCACCACTTCTCTTTTGATCTCCTTCTTAACTTCTATCTCTTTCTTTCTCTTCTTATCTCCAAACAAATCTTCTTCACTGTCCGAATCAAATATTGTAGATTTCTTCAAAGGCTTTTTAGCTTTGAATATTTCATCATCGTCTTCGTCACCAAACAGTGATGTTTTATCATTTTTTTTATCAATTTTGCCCAAAGTTGGAAGTCCTGCCTTTGAGTCTATACTTTCAACTTTCTGACTAGATTGTACTGGGTTCGTGTTAAAAATATCTTCGTCGTTCAAAATGTAGACGACTTTAGATTTTACATCTTTTGAATAAGGTGGCTTTTCTATATTTTCAACTGTAGTATGTTTAGCGTCCTTTGAAGAAGTTGGGTTTGCGATATTTTCAATATGTTTTTCAGGTACTTGAGCTGTGGTTTCTTTGAAATCTTTTGAGGACAAAGTTTTTTCAGTAATTTCAGTTTTCTCATCTTCAATAATTGGTTGTTTTTCAACATTTTTGTCAATAATTTCAGGATTTTCTCTACTGTCAATACTAGATTTTGCAGTATTTACTTCAGCTTGTTCTAATTTTTTGTCTATATTTTCATCCTGTGTTATCGTGGCTTCATTTTCTATAGGTATAGAAGGCTTTATTTCAACAGGTTCAAAATGTTTCTCTAGTTTTTCATCCTGTGCAATTTCAGGTTTATTTCCAGGCACAATTCTAGGTGTATCATCTATGGAGCTAGAATTATCAGTAGAATCTTCTCCGAAGTCAATAGCAGATTTCCTCACCGCTTCTCTTCTGGCCCTTCTCGTCGAAGGGCGGCGTTTAACCTGAATCTTAGCCCTTTCTTTAGATATTTTATTATCTAATACTTCTGATTCAGGTTTTCCATCAAAACTAACAGATTTTATTAATGTAGAATCTGGGTTTTGATCTTCAGTTTTAGGAATTTTAACGTCTTTTTGACTTTCAATTTGAGGTTTGGGAAGGTCAGGAAGGATTTTGACTTCTGATCTTTGATTTTGATCTACTACGCTTTGAGTTAGTCCGTCTGTTTGGTCACTAGGTTTGACCTTTTTAGGTGATGCGCCAGGTAGGAGCGCGTTAACATTAATATTTAGACCGACTTTTAGTTTTCCAACTTTTTTAGTATCTGTAACCTTTGCTTCTTGAATATTTTCAGCTTTATTTACGATTTCAGGTTTCGATTTAGTTATTTTGAAAATATCTTCATCTGATTTAGAATTATCAGCTTGTTCCACAGTTTTTATAGGTGAAAATAGTTCGTCATCTGAAGTTTTACTAAGTTCTGAAACTATTTCATGTATAGGTTTACTTTCAGTGACTTTGAATAATTCTTCGTCAGATTTTGAATCTATATCTACTGGCTTGCTTTCATTTTTCAGCTCTTCATGTTTCTCAGTACTAAATAATTCATCATCTGAAATTTTTATATTTGATTCCTGAGCCTTTTCAGCTACAAGTATAGGTGTAGGTTTTTGAACTACCGCCGGTTTTGCTTCAGGTTTTTTCGAAAATAGATTATCGTGATCAGAATTATCTAAATTAGGTGTTTCTTTTAAACTAGATTTTGGAATTTTAGGTATTTTGAATAGATTATCATCATCGTCATCATCTGATAATGAGAATGATTTTGGTTTTTCAAAAACATCATCTTTTCTTTGATCATCGCCAATTTTAGTGTCTTTTAATATTTCTATATGCGCTACTTGATTAAATATATCTTCATTATCCAATTCTGTTTGTTTAACATTATCGGGGACAATCCCATGAACAGGAAGGGGAGGCAAATTATTGTTAGGAGGTACTTTAGGTTTAGGGGCTGAAGCAAACATGTTATCATCGTCATCCTTGATTTTGCCAAATCCATCATCAGGTGGTTCATCAGTAAACAAACCAAATATTCTATCCTGTGTTGGAGTAAAGTCATTCGGATGATCATCAAACACGTGTTCATTCTTCTTGAAAAATAGACTCTCATCGTCTGAATCATCATCGAATAACGCGTTGACATTTTTACTCTTTTTCGGTTCTTTCGGTTTTTCAAAAATGGGCGGCTCTGTTACAATATCGTTGAAAATATCTGTTGCTGTAGCTTTTTTATTGTCAGATTCAGTCTTTTCAGGAAATATGTTAGCAATTTCTGGCGGTTCATCGAAAATTTGTTCAGTATTTTGTTTTTCTTGTGATTTTGTAAAGAGTTCGTCTATATCTGCTTCTAAAGTTGCTTTATCAAAAATATTTTCTTTTTCTATAGGTTTAGGTTTATTATCGTTTGACGTATTATTACTAGTAGCTGGTTTCGGAGGTAAATCATCGAAATCTTGATCGCTAAAATCATTACTTGACTCAGATGAACTTTGTTCTTTTTGTATATGATCAAATATTTTAGCTGCATTATTGCCGACATTCTTACTAGAGATTTCATTTTTACTGTCTAATTTAACATTTTCGTTTACATCTTTATGTTCTATTTCATCACCAGTATTATTATTATTTACTTTGATAACATTTTCAGTTAAATTATCATTCTTAATACTAAAATCATCAGTTTGAACTGAACTTGATGATGGTTTGTTATTATCATCATCAATTATTTTATCATTTTTAACTGATGACGTTTTATTGACTGTGATACTAGTATTAACTGCTTTAGCGAAAAGATCACCATCATCAACGTCATCATCATCAAATAAAGATGGACTGTTGAAGACATTTGAAATATTTTGATTAATTTTTCCATCACCAGCCTTATCTATATTAACACTTTGTACTTTCGAATCATCATTTACTTTATTTGTTGCCAAATCATTGAACAAATCATCATCATCGTCATCAAATATACTTCTAGTTACTTCTTTATTTGTTCTAGAAGCTTCTACTGCTTTACTTCTTTCTACTTCTTTAGCTTTGGGCTTATCAACAGGTTTTGCTTGTAAATTATCGGCAAATAAATCGTCATCGCTATCAAATAAGCTTTTCTTTACACTACTACTAGTAGCCACTTCGATTCTTGCCGGTTTTGGTGGTGCAATCTCTGAGAATAGATCATCATCATCTTCAAATATAGGTTTTGAGTTTTTATTGTCTTTAGGAGGTACTTTAGCTACGTTAGAAGAAAATATATCATCAATGTCATCAAAAAGATCATCGCTAAACAAATCAACTTTAGTTTTTTCATTCTTATCTTTTTCTGTATCTTTCTTTTGGACTTTATCTTTCAAATCTTTTACTAAATCAGTTTTATCTTTTGTAACTTTCCTGCCTTCAGATCTAGCGAAAAGATCATCGAATATATCTTTTTCTTTTTTAATTTGTTGTTTAGGCTGGGTTTCAGTTTCGCTATCATCACCGGAAGTTGATTTACGTTGGTTCCGTTTTAAAATGGCGGCTCCTATACTCTCTGTGCCTTTGTTACCGAACAGGGAAATACCACCGGCTGGTTTCTGTGAAACACAAGATATAATTGCTATGAAAAACGATTATTAAACAATAAACTGTTTTATGGTAATTCTATTGAATTAAGGGTTGTATAAGTTTAATTCTAAATAATAAAAATACAGTGTACAATAGTGAAGTTTGCTCCCTCCAAAACTTATGTTGTTGTGCCCGACAGGGTCCACATTGTGTCCTATTTATGTTTACCACCTAAGTAATACATGTGAAAAGCAATAAAGTATTGAGTATTTGTCTTACATCCTTTTAATTTCGAAATCCCTCATCTGCACGAATTAAAAAACAAGTTTATTTCTATTTTGAAAACTTCTTATGTACTCCACCCATCTATAGGCCTGACTATGAAGACTAAACTAAACCCTTTTAATCACTAAAGTAATAAATTATAGGCAATAGGCGCCATAGGCTCACCCCCTATTACATGGGACTCGTTTTTTTTTTAAAAAAAAATTTGCCTTACACTAGGATTACCTCCTGTGTCGTGGGTGCGTTTACATACATACAAGTTCACATACACATGACACCCAGACCCGCGTGCGGGAATCGAACCTGCGACACATTGCACGGCAGCCGGGTACCCAGCCACCGCACCAACCGTGCAGTCTAACATAAATAGTGAAAAGTGGGTGTTACATTATACAGTGCCATTAAGTGCCGTAATGTACACCTCTGCCTACCCCTTCGAGGGTAAAAGGCGTGATGTTATGTTAGTAATACATTTTTTTATGCCATAAGCCGGTAAACGAGCAGACGGATCACCTGATGGTAAGCATTCGGCGTCGCCCATGCACACCCTAAACACTAGAGAAGTCAAAGGTATCAAATATCAATGAAAAAAACATTACAATAACAAAAATCTTACTACCTTCACGCCTCTATCCCCATCAGTATCAGCAGTTTGCTTCACATCCTGCCTGATAACTTGTCCTTGTAGATTATACGCAGTGTGATCATCATCATCATCATCATAGTCGCTGTGATGATCAGGTTGTGATGGCCTTTGTGGTGTGGGGACTGTGACTTGAATAGGTTTTGTTGGTGGCTAAGGAATAAATATGAAAATTAGTATTATTAAACTAATTTGAACGTGATGAAAGTGCACACTACGGCACTTAACGTCACTGTACTGTGTCAAGCAGCCAGTAGAGTAAAAGACTGGCAGCAAGATGAATACCACGACCCACCGTTTTCATCTCTGGAACTGAAGACAGCCGTGGAAGGTTTCAATCCTAAGAAAGCCCCCGGATCAGACGGATTTACTAACACCCACTTTTTACTATTTATGTTATGAGGAGTCTCTTTTAAAAAGGGGTGAGCCTATTGCCATATACCGGGTTTACTGAGTTTTTTTTTAAGAAACCTAGTAATACTTTGCACGTCCCCGTAACCGAACCCGATACCCCTTGCCCGGCAGTTGCACTTGCAACCACGCGGCCAACGAGGCAGTTAAGTCACCGAAAATAGTTGTCAACACGTCCTCTGGTATTTGCTGGTCCGCTCGTTCCAAAGTGTAAATTCCTATGTAGAAGAACGAGCAAGAAGCTTCATAGGTTACACTTATACAAAGATATTAATAAAATGTGGCCAACGAGACATTGAGAGAGTGGTCGCAAGTGCGACTGCCGGGCAAGGGGTCTCGAGTTCTATTCCCGGGTCGGGCAATGTATTACAGGCTTTTAAAAATCTCAGTAGTAGCACGGAGTCTGGAATTGTGTCCGGTATATGGCAATAGGCTCACCCCCTATTACATGGTACTCATTACATAAATAGTGAAAAGTGAGTGTTACAGTGGAATTAAGTGCAGAAATGGCTACCCCTTGGTTTTGCCTCCCCCTTTGGGGATAAAAAGGCGTGATGTTATGTTATGTTATTAATAAAATGTGTCCCACCTGATACCCAGCACCACTGAACAGGTCTCCATCATCCCTCTGCTGCATCACACCAGGTCGAGTATCACTGCCAGCCTGGCGATGTATCTCGGCGAATACATCCGAGTCCTGGCTGTCCGAGTGGTCCGATAGAGGGGGCGGCTCGTCTGAGAATATTGTACCTGGGGGATAACGGGATGAGACGTGACGTGACGAACGATAACATAGCATTATGTGGCGTGACGTGACATAAATAATGCGAAACGTTACAATTGGGTACTTGCCAACTAGTCAATCAATATGAATACTTTTTTTGAAATGTCAAAAACGACAGTTTTCTATGAATTTTGTACGAGATTGTGTATTGTGACGTCACGTATTATTAGCGACAAACAGCATACATATTTCTTAAAAATTTGCTGGAAACGTACTAAAATTAAGTTGGTCGTAGAATCAATTAATGAAAGTGTGATTATTTTTTAATGTATTATTGTATTGAACAGTCAAAACTAATTTATTATTGAAAGTACCTAATTAGAAGAAATAACTGTTAACTATAAATTAACTATATTTATTACCAAATTTCAAAACAGGGACAGTAATGAGGGCTAGTATTTTATGTTCTCCAGAGGGCGCTAAAGTAGAATAAGGTCATGTTTACCCAATTACCGTAAATAATAATTAGTTTATTAAACAAGTGACGCCTCGCTACGCTAGCGATCCTAGCGATTACCTCTCTCGTGGTAGCCCTCTATAAACTTGGTCGACTATAAGCTACACCAGCGCCACCTAGTATACGCAAAAATGACAAAATAAAAATAAATTGTAGAATATAATGTATAACGTACTGGAGACGGGATCCTGTGGCCGGTAGACCTTCCTGGATGCTGGTTGGGGTGTCTCCGCAGGAGGTGAAGGATCTCTCTCCACCATCTAGAAATTAATAAAAAAACACGTCTATAATATATAAAAGAATGTCGTGTTAGTTACACTATTTATAACTCAAGAACGACTACATCAATTTGGATGAAAATTGGCGGGGTGGTAGCTTAGAACCAGAAGACGGACATAGGATACCTTTTAGCAAATACTTTTCTTTACTTTTAACCGAAAATCACGGACAGGAACGGGATAACAAGGGACTGTGCGTTCGAAGTCGCGGACAGAAGCTAGTTTGTTATAAATTATAATATAGGTCGACAATCGAGCAGACTGATCACCTGATGGTAAGCAATCAGCGCACCCTTAGGCAACACTAGAGGAGTTACTAGTTACTAGTATTACAATACTAAATTTATTTATTTATTTATTTAAAACCTTACCTAAAACTATCATTACAGTTTTCTAAGAATTTATTTTTCCATTTATTTAAGAATTATTTAAATGGGATAGCGCGGTCAAACGAAGAGGAACGAAAGGAATAGGGGATTTTGGAGGACTGATGCTCTCTCACACAGCGAAACACAACACTTAATTTGTTTCACGTTGGTTTTTTGTAATGCCGTGATATCAGTCCGGTCGAAGTGGACCATTGCTTTAAGTTTCAATAGGGGCTACCGTACCGTAAAATAGGGTGAATGGATATTGGGAAATTCTTCATAGTATCTATTCACCTCTCTTCTGTCCCTATTCACCCCATTTCACCGTTATTCACTTTAATATTGAATAACCTATTGGACAAGAGGGTCACTAGCGCCATCTATTGATAAAAAACGGTAGCCCGCATTTTAATAAACATTTAGGAACCTACCTTGTTAGGCAATGCAGCTCCAAGTCTCCGTGCGATGTCACTGGCGACATCTGACGGCGTGGGCCGCGGTATGGAACCCTGCTCCGATGGTAATGAGGACGAAGTTTCTGATACCTGATGAGGAACAGACTATGTTATTGCTTGGTTTCATAATCAACAGCCTCTAAATACCCATTGCTGACCAAAGGCCTTTTATCACACAGAGAAGGTTTGAGCATTAATCACCACGCTTGCTTAATGCGGGTTGGCAATTTCAAATTTATATATTATACTGGTAAACGAGCAGGCGAATCACCTACTGGTAAGCAATCAGCGTCGCACATGGACACCTGAAACACTAGAGGTGTAAAATAATTCATAAGAACTGCTACGCTTTACAACTGCGTTACCGGCCTTTTGGGGATTAGGAATTTGACGATGTTTGGGCATTCAGGGATTGGGGAGATTGGAGAAGGGGGTAATTGGGCCTCCGGTAACCTCACTCACACGACGATACACAACGCTGTGGTAGTATCACGTGATTTTCTGTTCGTTGGAGGAATCACTCCGGTCGAGCCGAGCCATTCGTGCCGAAGCATGGCTCTCCCACACTTAAGAATGAAAGAATAAACCTGTACTGTCACTGTGTTGTTATACTCTGTCGTTTCTTTGTGTTTTTATCTATATCTATATAAATATATGTATTTATTTGTCCTTTTCTTTTTTAATTTTGTATTTTTTTGTATCTGTGGGCGTGCCTACTGTCGAATAAATGTTTTTTCTTTGTTTCTGTAAAACTAGAGTTAATTTATTTTAATTGTAATGCTCTTTCCTTCTCGGTGTGAGAAGAGACGTCTACCCAGCAGTGGGCCAGTTACCAAGTGGTGCTGCGGCGGTGTCCCGGCCCGCGCGGGCGGGGGCGCGCGGCGCGCCTCGCTGTCGGACTGCGAGTACTGGTCGCTGTCCTCGCCGCGGTCACTCACGGAACTCTCACTGTCCGTCGGCTCCACCACTAGACCTTGGGGGAAAGGGGGTACAAAAGTAAATAAAAAAAGACTTAGTAAGTGACGACGACGATATTTCGACACCACAATGTCCTCAAAAGTATAAACGGCCTACGGATTTATACCTTATCAGAATAGCGCGACTAGCTTCGAGCTATACCGGATCCCTAAATATTTTACGTTAACTCTTCTTCCTTGAACACACACCATTTCCCCTCCCCCCTCCTCTCTCTCTCTCTCTTTACTTCTCTTTCTCTTTTTCTCTCTCTACCCCTCAATCTCTACCCCTCTTTTTCTATCTCTTCTCACTTCTCTCTCTCTTTCTCTTCCCCACTCTCATTCTCTTTGCACTTGTCTCAAAATTAAATAAAATACTCGTACGTCATTTTGTAGTTAGCTTTATGATCAGAATAAGGTAGTCCAATAATAAATAAATAAATAATGACAGTATCTCACCAGCATGCCACTTGTTCTTCCACGGCTGCGACCCAATGATGTACGGCAGCGGGCGCTCCCAGTACATGTCCTTCGGTTTCAGGACCATCCTGAAATAATCATGGAAAAGTATTCTGTTAGTGTTGTTTTTCAGTGTTTTTGCATGTAGTTATGAAGCATTTTAAGATGAGAAGCAGTTACATACAGTCTGTGTCCCAGTGGTGGAGGAAGGGGGGAAGGCAGAGACTATGGAACACCAATTGCTACGATTCTTACATACCTCTTTCGCTTCATCGACAGTCATCAGTCTTTTCATGCATGCTCGTCGGTTAAGGGTATTTTTAATTTGGCCCTTCTTTAATATATCGCCAATCTGGTACTATATGTCCGCCTAGGGCGCCCTCTACCGACGGCCCCATTCACATCCGCTCCGTATACTTCTCTCATTACTCTACTTTCATCCATTCTTTCTACATGTCCAATACATCGTAACATTATTTTCAATCCTTGTCCTGTTCTTTACTACATGTATATGAATATACATACGATACATATACTAAAATACCACTTTTTACAATTATGTCTGCCTGTCTGTTTGTATTTACTAGCTTATCTCTCAAATAGCTGGATCGATTTCGACGGAACTTTTATACGAGTACAAAAGGCTTTATATAAAAAAAAACTAACACTATGTTACAGGTACAGCATTAATACTAAAGGATAAAGCAAAATTTCCCAATGGTTAAAGTGTGAGAGAGCCATGCTTCGGGACGAATGGGCCGGCTCGACCGGAGTGATACCACGGCCGAGCAGAAGACCGGCGTGAAACAACGCTTGCATTATATTTCGTCGTGTGAATGAGGTTACCAGAATCCGAAGTACCCCCTCATCAATCCCCGAATCCCCAACAATCCTCAATTTTCTAATCCCAAAAGGCTCGTAACTCACTTGTAACGGCTCTGGTGTTCCAGGTGTCCATGGGCAGCGAAGATTGCTTACTATCAGGTGATCCGTCTGCTCGTTTACTGGCTTATTTAATAAGAAAAATGGCTTAGTACTCACCTAGCAGGCACCTCATCGTCGGTATCGGATTCAGTATCACTGTCCTGCAGTATGGTGATGATCTCGTGTGACTGTTCCAATACTGTTAAACTACGCTTCAGACAGGTTAGCTCATCTGGGACTTCCTGTTTCGGAGATTCCTGATGACAAATAAGCATACAATAGGGTAGTTGCCAGCTTATGACAATTAAAAATGTAATTAGTCCGTCAGTTAGATAATGAACAAAATATTAGACATGTATTTTTTTATTTTCGCTTATAAAGTTCTATACTTAGATAAAATGGAGTTAGGTTTAGGAGTGGGAGGTCGTTACGTCACAGCGTGCTACAAAATGTACGATGACAACGATACGACGATATTTCAAATCTATAATTATATATCGTGGATTCGTCGAAAATATTTAATTTTGTGAGAAAAGAAAAAGTTTTGAATTAATGTATCATCGCCCACGACGAATAGCAATCAGCGTCGCCCATGGATACCTGGAACACCAGAGGCGTTACAAGTTCGTTACCGGCCTTTTGGGGATTAGGAGTTTGAGGATGGTTGGGGATTCAGGAATTGGGGAGATTGGGAAAGGGGAGGGTAAATGGTCCTCCGGTAACCTCACTCACACGACGAAACACAACGCAAGCGTTGCTTCACGTCGGTTTTTTGCTCGGCCGTGGTATCACTCCGGTCGAGCCGGCCCATTCGTGCCGAAGCATAGCTCTCACACACTTGTAAAAAAGTTTTATAGCAATAAACAGTCATGTTTATTTTTCGAAGCTCTCACTATCTCATTTGGTCTTTTCGTCATTTTAATTTGGACAAAAGTAGTCGGAAAGTTAGTATTTTAGGTACCATTACATTGTAATCGTTCGCAGAAGAAGACGTGATATTTATAACCTTTCGCTTCATGCATTGGTGTCAATAATTAAAAAATCGTTGACCGACTTAACTAAAATGTGCAGTGATGAGTTTCACACTCCTTTGTGCAGGATGTTGAGTAGGTTGGTACCTATAACAGTCCTACTTGAACTGTTTGTATGTCAAAGAAAGTAACGCAATGCAATGATTGTTATAATAATTATCGTGAGACAGGAAATTAACTAATAATCGCGGGTTACTCACGTGAATATACTGAGAAAAGCTCTACTAGTTTCGAGCCACAAGGGGGCTCTTCCTCATAACCAGCGTGCGCGTTCGCGGCGATGTCGCGTCATATCATAATGATGTAACTTAATGTCCACAAAATTGTGAATTAGGTACCTATTAAGGTTTTAATGAATAATTTTGTATGGAACTTATGGCACCGACTTCTTACCTATCAGTGGGTGAGTAACCTATCAGTACTAATAATAGTTATTTTTTGCTTTTTGTTATTAGTTTTTGGTTTTTTAAGTCGGTTTTTTAAACGCAGTTTTTTTTGTATTTGTTGACGTTTCAAAAGTACCAAACTATGGTTTAATTGAAATAAATGCTTTGACTTTGACTGCCGTATTGAAATAGATGATTTTGACTTGACTAGAAAGAAAGTAACAATGTAATGATTTAACATAAGCCTTGTGTTCTCCACAGCAAAGGCACTGCGCATGTCCAATGCAACACTCACATGTCCTGGAAACATACTTATGCAAAATATCGTCACTAAAAGTCCAGCAGTGTCACTCGCTGTTGATAATGATGAAAGACCCTTACCTTGGCTGCTGGAGGTTCCGTGGTGAGGTCATCGTCATCGTACACTCTGCTTTCTATGAACTGACTGCTGCTTAGCGACATAAACCTGAAAACAAGACATGTATGTGGCATCTATAATATGTTACGATATCGTCTATCTTAAGTGTGGGAGAGCCATGCTTCGGCCTGAATGTGCCGGCTCGACCGGAGCTATACCACTAACGAGCAGAAGACCGACGTGAAACAACGTTGCGTTGTGTTTCGTCGTGTGAGTGAGGTTACCGGTTGCCCAATTCCCCCCCCCCCCCCCCCGCCTTTTCCCCAATCCCTGAATCCCCAACAATTCTCAAATTCCTAATCCCAAAAGGCCGATAACGCACTTGTAACGCCTCCGGTGTTCCAGGTGTCCATGGGCGACGCCGATTGCTTACCATCAGGTGATCCGTCACCTCGTTTACCGGATTATGCCATAAAAAAAGAGATGTGATCTCACTAATATTATTTTGAATGTGAAAGTTTCTTTGTTTGGATGTCCGTCGATCACTCTGCAACTTGGTATGCAGGCAGGGTATTGGATTAGGAGTTTGAGGACCGTTAGGGATTCAGGAATTGGGGACATTGGGGAAGGGGAGGGTAATTGGGCCTCCGGTAACCTCACTCACACGACGAAACACAACGCAAGCGTTGCTTCATGTCGGTTTTCTGTGAGGCCGTGGTATCACTCCGGTCGAGTCAGCCCATTCGTGCTGAAGCATGGCTCTCACACAATTAAACATCTAAACCGGTAAATCTCGATATTAAGTAAGATTTTTAAAACAATATTCTCACTGCCTCATTGGCTGTGTGGTCGCAAGAGCGACTGCCGGGCAAAGGGTCTCGGGTTCGATTCCCGGGTCGGGAAAAGTATTACTTACTTGATTTTTTAAAAATCTCAGTAGTCTGGAAATGTGCATGGGTACATTTCCAGACTACTTGCTACTACCATGCCATGGGGCAATATGCTATTACATGGGACTCATAACATAAATAGTGAAAAGTGGGTGTTACTTTGTACAGTGCCGTAATGTGCACCTCTGCCTAAGTGCCTACCCCTTCGGGATTAAAAGGCGTGATGTTATGTTATGTTTTCTTAGAAGAAATTAAGAACAGAAAACCATTTCGAAAATCTTCTATACATGACTGACATAGTGATCTATCAACGCACAGCCCAAACCGCTGGACAGATTGGGCTAAAATTTGGCATACAGATAGATGTTATGACGTAGGCATCCGCTAAGAAAGGATTTTGATAAATTCCACCCCCAAGGGGGTAAAAAAGGGGATGAAAGTTTGTATGCGACTTTGTCAGTTTTTAACTGATCTGGTTGAAATTTGGCATACAGATAGATGTTATGACGTAGGCATCCGCTGTGAAAGGATTTTGATAATTTCCAACCCCAAGGGGGTGAAATAGGGGATGAAAGTTTGCATGAGACTTTGTCAGTTTTAAACCGATTGGGTTGAAATTTGGCATGCAGATAGATGTTATGACGTAGGCATCTGCTTTGAAATGATTTTGATAATTTCTACCCCCAGGGGGTAAAACAGGGGATGAAAGTTTGTATGAGATATTGTCAGTTTTAACCCGATCGGGTTGAATTTTGGCATACAGATAGATGTTATCACGTAGGCATCAGTTGTGAAAGGATTTTGGTCTTTGCCACGCCCAAGGGGGTAAAATAGGGGATGAAAGTTTGTATGAGACTTGTCAGTTTTAAATCGATCGGATTGAAATTCGGCATGCAGGTAGATGTTATGACGTAGGCATCCCCAAGTAAGGATTTTGATTATTTCCACCTCCAATGGGGTAATGTAGGGGATGAACGTTTGTATGAAGCTTTGTCAGTTTTACACAGATCGGGTTGAAATTCGGCGTGCAGATGGATATTATGACGTAAACGTCCCTTTAGAAAGGTTTTTGAACATTCTCACCCCAAAGTATGATCCTTTGCCAGTTTTAAATTGATCGGGCTGAGACTTTGCATAAATAAAGTTACTATGACATAGGTATCTCCTTAGAAAGGATTTTGAAAAATTCTACCCCTAAGGGGATAAAATAGGGAATGAGAGTTTGTATAAATCTTCTTAGCCATTGAATTTAGAATCATTGAATCTTTTTGAATTACATTCGGTAAAACGATGATTTGGGACCTGGGTAACGTTTGATAGTTTTTATCACAGATGTCCCACGGGAACGGGAACTATGCGTCAATGCCCCAGGACTTTCTAACTCTTAACCACTGAACTTATTTTAGAGAGATTCGGTACAAGAATAGTCGATAGAATAGTTTTTATTACTAAAACCTTACGTGATCGGGCACTGTACTGGTAAGATCCCTGCGGGATTATTTATTTATTGAAACTAAGATAAATAATTTCAAAATAGGTAAATTTTATTTGGGCACTGAATTGATTCTGATTAATTCTGTCAAAAGTCATTAATCTACGCGGACGAAGTCGCGGGCAACAGCTAGTCTTACATAAGAATGTAATAATAAGAATAAAATAAAAACTAAGAACCTAATACAAAGGTGGTTACCGTTCAGAGAAACCTAATTACAAATTATAATTTCACCGAGAGGCATGGAGTGTGAAGTTTGGTCAGACATTCACTTTGGAAATCTATGTTTAAGTACCTTGCTAAATTACAATTAATTTTGTATGAGTTTGCTAATCCTTCGTTTAGATGACTTGGAAATAAGTAAAACGATTTAGAACATTCTAGTTAGATTTTTATTCTCTTTTAAAATAAAAAGTTACTACTAGCATTTTCTCCCGTGTCGTGGGTGCGCTTACAAATATTGGTCGTAATAGCCCGTAAGTTAACTAAAATGTGCGGTCGCGGCGTCGTCAGTGAGCCGTAGACGTCGGCGCGACTGCGCACGCTGCTCATGAGGAAGAACCCTTCTTAGTTCGAAACTAGTAGAGCTTTCAGTATATTCACGTGAGGAAAACGCAATTTTAGTTAATTTAGTATGTCTCACGATAGTTATATAAAAACACAGCCCGTAAGTATTTTTTTTTAGTATAAGCCGGTAAACGAGCAGACGGATCACCTGATGGTAAGCAATCGGCGTCGCCCATGGACACCTGGAACACTAGAGGCGTTACAAGTGCGTTACCGGCCTTTTAGGGATTAGGACTTTGAGGATTAATGGAGATTCGGAAGATTGGGGAAGAGCGGGGGAGAAAATGCTTGATGATGATACGTCTTCATATTCTTTACTTTGTTATATGTGTATAAGTGAGGTTACCGGCACGTCGTGGTGGCCCGAAGGTTTATGACGCGCTTCTCATACATGAGAGTGCTGGTTCGAAACCTACCAACCGCAAGTACCAATGTGACTTTTTCCGAGTTATAAGTACTCTTTAAGATTATTCAGACACCACTGACAAAGGGTGAAGGAAAACATCGTGAGGAAACCTGGGCTTATAATTTCTAATTATAAGTTTGAAATCACCAACACGCATTGAGCGAGCGTGGTGATTAATGTTCAAAACTTCTCCGTGTGAGAAGAGGCTTTGCTCAGCAGTGGGCATTTATATGCTGTTGATGATGACGATGAGGTTACCGGCAGCCCAATCTCCCCAAATCCTCGATCTCCAAATCCCAAACACGTCGACAACACACTAGCAACTCCTCTAGTGTTGCGGGCGACCATGGACGGAGCCGATTGCTTACCATCAGGTGACTATAAACTATTAGAACATGTAACTCACTGGTTATTGACATTCTGGAGGCTAATGCTGGCGTCATTCAGAGCGGTGGCCATCTTCTCCAGCTGGCTGTTCGCCTCCTGACATCGGGACAGCAGTTTCTGGAAACAGAACCCTCATTACATCTAGCAAGTGACTTGTATGTTTGTTTGTCCAGGAATATAAAACTAACTAGCTACTCCCCATTCATCTCAGGTCGTATTGATCGTAAGCTATATAAATGCTTTTGGTTAGTGATTAAAAATTTGTAAACCTGATTGAAAAAGAGTAACCTATGGAGTTTCTTGCTCGTTCTTCTCCATAGGAATTTACACCTTGGAATGAGCAAATAGCTTCACTTTTTTTTTGTTGACGGTCAAAAGTGCCATCCTGGCCTAATTGAAATAAATGATTTTGACTTTGACTTTGAAAAGAAACAAAAAAAAAATGTATATGTTAACTAGCTGATCCGGCAAACTCTGTACCGCCTACATTTTTTTTAACCTTCCCCGGACTTCCACGACCATTCCAAGACCAAAATTAGTAGAGATGGGTGCATATACAATGTGACAGCCAGTTCACACCAGTTCAGTCGTGAGTTCCACATTAATGTGAAAGAAACTGCACTTTTTAATAGAAATACACGTATAGGTAAAAGAAAGAAAGAAAGAAAAACCATTTACTTTTGCGCAGAACACACATAACATAATTAAAAAATAAAATTAAAATTAAATAAAAGCTAAAAAATGAAAAATGAAGTCTTGTCCATGGTCCACAGACTTATTATTTTACTAAAATCATAGAATACTTTTAATATCTAATATTATCTGTGGACCATAGACAAGGAACAACCTACTTACTTCATATCTACTATCTAGTTACATTTCATAAAATTGGCTAAAGGAGTATATATAAAAGTTTAACTATAATAAAACAACGGGTAACAGGTACGTTTGCCATTAACTATTCCGATAGTTTTACCGTGCACCATCTGCATAGTGGAGTAGTACGAACACAGCCTATGAGTAACATAATACGTTGACTTCCGTTACCAATAACTTTAGTAGTCCCATTCTATTAGGGGACATGTTTAGTGGCACAGATCGGCCACAAGCGATCATAAGACTCGGATTGGGTACTTGCCAACTAATCAAATTCAATACCTTTTTCGAACTGTCAAAAACGACGGTTTTTTATGAATTTTGTACGAGATTGTGTATTGTGACGTCACGTTGTTTTAGCGGCAAACAGCGTACGTATTTTTTTAAGAATTTGCTAGAGAAATACTAAAGTGAAGTTGGTCATAAAATAATTGCCAATAAAAAACTGTTGAAGGTAAATCCTCCGCTAACGTCGGTCACCGGTGACCCCCATGGCGTTTAACGTGTTAATGGAAGTGTTATTATTTTTTAATAATTTATTGTATTGAACAGTCGAAATAATTTACTTTTGATTAAGGAAAGTGCCCAATTACGTAGTGGCTTCGGAATCGACTGTCACACGGTGTTTTTAGGGATCAATTACTGAACTATACCTAATATATGAAAGTCGACTGCCTCGTTGGCCAGCGCAAGTGCAACTGCCAGGCAAGGGGTCTCTGGTTCGATTCCTGGGTCGGGCAAAGTATTACTGGATATTTAAAAAATTCTCAATAGTAGCACGGAGTCTGGAATTGTGCCCGGTATATGGCAATAGGCTCACTATTACATAGGACTCATAACATAAATAGTGAAAAGTGCGTCTTACATTGTACAGTGCTGTAATGTGCACCACTGCCATCGGGGATAAAAGGCGTGATGTTATGTTATGCATATACCGGATACAATTCCAGACTCCGTGCTAGCACCGAGAATTTTTTTAAAACCTATTAATATTTTGACCGACCCGGGACCCAAGACCCCTTGCCCGGCAGTCGCACTTGCGACCACTCGACCAACGAGGCAGTCATTCATAATAGTCTAATAATAATACCATTACGTAATAATACATCATTGATAACTGTATACACGAGAGGTAGAGAGGGAAAACAAGAGGAAATTCACAATTAATAATTATTAAATTACAACAAGTACATTCAGCGGTTGAATGTTGACCGCAATCAGGAATATTTTATACTAGCTACTTCCGCGCGGTTTCACACGCTCTGCTCAGCTCCTATTGCCTATAGCCTATTTTATAGCCTATAGCTATCCTCGATAAATGCGCTATCCAACACAAAAAGAGTTATGCAAATCAGACTTGTAGTTACGGAGATTAGCGCGTTCAAACAAACAAACAAAAAAACAAACTCTCCCGCTTTATATAATAGTAATAAGTTTTTTTTAATGGGGGAATTTCATCGAATGACTGCTCCCGCTCCCGCCTGGGTGAGGCGGGAGGAGTGTCAGACTCTTACTGACTAAAAACCATCCCGTTCCTTCTCCTGCACGTCGAGCCAAAGCCCCGGTTACCCGTTAGGTTCTCCGTGACTCCGAATCGGCAATAGTATAACAGTATAAGATTAACATTTTGTAACATATATTATAGAATGCATTGGTGAGAAGCCAGTTAGAATGTAATGCAGTCATCTGGGCTCCGCATGAAACTAAATATAGTCTCATGCTGGAGAAGGTACAAAATAAATTTATAAGATATTTGTATAAGCGCTATTACGGAGTCTATCTCTGTTACCCATTAATGTATCCCACCTTATTTATTTTAGGTGTGGTTGGATACAATGAACTAAGGGTTAGAAGGGATCTTGCATTAGCTTTATATATATTTAGATTGCTGAGAGGGAAAGTGTATAATGCAATTATTTTAAGCCAGGTGAGTCTGTATGTTCCGGACAGGTACGTGTGGCGACGACGACAGCCACGAGTGCTGGTGGAACCGCGTTCTCGGACTAACCTTCTAAAGGAGGCGCCGCTGACGCGTACGCTCCGCACGCTCAACCTCATAGCGAGTGAGACGGATTTATTTTACTGTTCTCTGAGTGAATTCACAAGGAATGCTTTGTTTGTAATTAGTTATAAGCAATAAGTCAGGATTAAATAGTTCGCATTTATCGCATTGGGTCATCCTGTAATGGTAAATGTAAGTAAGTAAATAAATAAATAAAAATAAATAAATATATAAACATATAATATGAAACGATTTGTACCTACGCTACGTTTCTACCTTGTACATTTTAACTATAGCAAAAGTTGGGATAAATACATGTCCTGATTATATTTAACTAATATGTGATTACTATTATAAAAGCCGATGAGTCAGTTTGTTTATTTGACCGCGTTAATCTCAGGAACTACTGGCCATTTTTTGAAAAATCTTTTTATGTTGGATAGCCCATGTATCGAGGAAGGCTATAGGCTATAAAACATCATGCTACGATCAATAGGAGCCGAGCAGAGCGGGTGAAACCACGCAGAAGTAGCTGATAAGTCACAAGTTTTTTTATGGAATAGGAGGCAAACGAGCAGCCTGACGGTAAACGATCAGCGCCGCCCATGGGCACCCGCAATCCGAGTCACAGGTGCGTCGCCGGCCTTTTAAAGAGGAATACGCTCTTTTCTTGAAGGTTTGAAGGTCGTATCGGTTCGGAAATATCGCCGGATAAATAAAATCACTACATAATATAAAACAATATCGCTTTCCGCCGACTGTCTGTCCCTATGTATGCTTAGATCTTTAAAACTACGCAACGGATTTTGATGCAGTTTTTTTATAGATAGAGAAGGTTTATATGCGTAATACACGCATATTGAACCCGTGCGATGCCGGGGCGGGTCGCTACAAATAAATAAACAAACAAGATCGATGTATAATACGGGTAGTTCTTGGCAATCCAAAATGACTCAGTTGGAAGTCATCCACTGCCTCATATGCCTCATGAGATAGTGGACATCTTGTAACTGTTGTGATGATAAACACTGATCATTTCGGGTTTTCGACCTTGACTGTTAGCGATATAACTGCGATCCTAAGGCAAATACCAATATACGGAGCCGCGGAGAACCTAACAGGTTACCGGGGCTCCGGCTCGAAGTGCCGGAGTAGGAATGGGGTGGTGTTTAGTCAGTAAGAGTCTGACACTCCCTCCCACCTCACCCAGGCGGGGGCAGTCATTCGATGATTTTTACACCTTAAAAAAAAGGCAAATACTAATCGTGGCGATTACGGCATACTATTAGGGACAGGTCTTTATCAAGCAGTAGATGCCTAGCATACAAACTGCTTTCTCATTTAGCGAATACAAAGCGTAATGTTATGATATTATTATGTGCGAAAATATTGCAGACAGGATTAACACCAACATATTATGAACATACAGAATTATAGATAACAATGTTTATTTTATTTGTTATCTATTTGATTGGCTAACATGACACAGAGCATCCTTTTTTAATAACTCTTTTATCTAAATAACTAACAATGACCTGCGGTTTTACTTATAGTTATGGTAATTAAATTTATGGATTTTTTTAAGGGGGATCCACCCCGTTCCTTCTCCTGCATGTCGAGCCGGAGCCCCGGTTACCCGTTAGGTTCTCCGCGACTTCGAATCGGCAACATCCCTATTGGGCCCTATCTGTGGTGGTCTGATGGCTCTTGGAGGCGCGCGCGGAACGCGACGCGCCGTACGCTCGGGTCTGTTTCTGGTCGGACGGGGTCGGAGTCGGATCGGGTCTGGTCCCATGCTCGCCGTCCGTTTATTTTTGGAACAGGGTACAATCGAGCAGATAAAAAATAGCCTATGTGACATATACTATACCAATACATACAGCGCCATCTATACCAATACTGTTGTTTTCCGTCGGGAATATCAAATTTTTCCGGAATAAAAAGTACCCTATTATTTAATCCAGACTACTAAGTTTACCTCTGCAAAAATTTAATGCAATCGGTTTAGTAGTTACGGCGTGAAATCGGAACAAACAAACAAACAAACTCACTTTCCGATTTATAATATTAGTAAGGATTGAATATTACCTGATGTGTAGACTGCAGTATGTTGAGGAGCTGCTCATCTCCGGCCAGGGTCCAGCTTGGAGCCAGCTTCCTTAAGGAGTCAGTGGTAGACTCATCCATGTTGCGGGCTTAACTACTGCAACAAGCATTAATATATTAAATATAACACTAACAAATTCTGTCACAGATGTGGTTAGAGAGGAGAGAGTGGCGACGTCTTACATGTAACTGGCTGACATCCATTAATTCACATGAATAAGCCACAACTAGACTTAGAACCTTTGTCTTGTAATATTATATATTTTTATTCTATTTATATATTGTTTAAACACTCACTAAGAAATTATGTCAAACATTCATAAAAGCTATTGTAGAATGTTCTTAGGATGCACAATAAGGAATGATATGCATAAATATGAATCTATAAGTTATCAATGGTCGTTAGTTTTTATTTGTTTTGTTTGTTAATCTAAGAATAGAATATATGTTATCTATATATATATAAAAGAAAGTCGTGTTAGTTACACCACTTATAACTCAAAAATGGCTAAATCGATTTGGATGAAAATTGGTGGGGAGGTAGCTTAGAACCAGACGACGGACATAGGATACTTTTTAATCAATTCTTTTTTTTTTACTTTTTACCGAAAATCAAGAACGGGAACGGGAAATATCGGGATTGCGCGTACGAAGTCGCGGGCAGAAGCTAGTTATCTATATATATAAAAGAAAGTCGTGTTAGTTACACCACTTATAACTCAAGAACGGCAGAATAGATTTGGCTGAAAATTGGTAGGGAGGTAGCTTAGAGCCAGGAGACCGACATAGGATACTTTTTAATCAATACTTTTTTTTACTTTTTACCGAAAATCACGAATGGGGACGGGAAAAAATGGGATTACGCGTACGAAGTCGCGGGCAGAAGCTAGTTTTAAATAGATTCAGGCACTTTCTAGTGTACAAGGTGGGCTTAATGCCATGGGCATTCTGCTCCAGCCAGACCTTTCGGTGATGCAGAGACAAAAATGATGCAAGAAGTAAGAGCACTTGAGATCTATGATCGAGAGAATTATATAAAAAATCAATTGTATAGTATTAATGAATATACATAATTTTTAACTACACACCCACTCTAGAATAATCTCCTGCGTCGTGGGTGCGTTTACAAACATACAAGTTCACATACACATGACACACAGACAAGAAACAACAATTTGTGGATCACACAAAGAGTTGTTCCGTGCGGGAATGGTTGCGATACATGTTGCACTGCACCTGGTTGCCCAGTCACCACACCAATTATGCAAACAAATTTTTACTGTATTCATATGTAGGTAAGTACAGAATGCAAGAAAGGTTATTGCCACTGAAGAGAAGATGGGTAGCTTCCTGAATTTTGTTTTAATGTTCGTTTGTCTGGTAGATTAATTAGACGACGATATATTAATTTGAAATATCGTGTGACATCACAGCATGTTACATTGTGTAGCATGTTGAGATGTAACAAACTCCTAAACTTAACACTATTGTATCAAAACATAACATGACGCGTTTTATCCCCGAAGGGGTAACACCCACTTTTCACTATTTGTGTTATGAGTCCCATGTAATAGGGGGTGAGCCTATTGCCATTTACCAGGCACATTTCCAGACTCCGTGCTACTACTGAGATTTTTTTTAAAACCCAGTAATACTTTACCCGACCCGGGAATGGAACCCGAGACCCCTTGCCCGGTAGTCGCACTTGCGACCACTCGGCCAACGAGGTAGTATAGTATCAAAGTATTGTAACTTTTATGAGAATATAAAACATCAACCAAAGGTCTGGCGGGAAGAGAATACCTATGCGATTAAGCCCTCCTTGTATATTAGTACAGTGCTAAATTTACAAATAGACCGTATAGGCCAGGGCCTAATGGCGGCAGATTTTAAAGGACGGTCACTCAATTTAAGATGATAAAAGTTCACTACTTTTATCATGGTTTTTATACTTTAAATAAATCCCTATATTAACTCATTCTTATCGAAACCTAGTGAGTGATAGATGAGAGCTGTGCGGCTCTTATCGATTTTGAGTCACGGAAGGCCTAACGGGTTGCCAGGCCCCGGCTTGAAGAGCAGGGTTAGGAATGGGGTGGTTTTTAGTCAGTAAGAGTCAGAGACTCCCACTCGCTTGACCCAAGGAGGAGGGAGAAGTCATTCGATGATATTCCCCCCTCAAAGAAAAAGTAAGGGGCGGCGGAAAAAAGGCTTACACTCATAAACAATATAAATCAAGCACTGCATTAGTATGTGCATGAAGCCTTTTAAAATAAAAATAAATAAATATTTAGTAGATATTTTATTAATATAATACACAATAAGATCTCCGATAGCCCTAACGTATCACTTCCTAAAACTGTAAAACATTACACCTTTAAATTCCCCAAGGGATAGGCACTTCTGCCTTCACATTTACAAAGTAACACCCACTTGTCACCAGTTATGTCATGAGTCCCATGTAATAAATAGGGGGTGAATTGCTACAAAGCTTTGCATAGACCTTCCAAAGACCCTGTACATCTATACAGATAACTAAAATTGGAGTGTCTGTTTGTAATATTAAAATAACCACTTTTTACTACATATATGTATATGAATATATATGAATATATATATGTCTGTCTGTTTATAGTTTGTACTGACTACTCTGGAATAGCTGGACCGATTTTGACGGGGTTTTTATTGGCAGGTATCTGATGTATTACCGAGTAACAAAGGATACTTTTATCTTGGAAAATTAAAACAATAAAGTTATGTTTTAAAATTTATATTCTATGTGGACGAAGTGGCAAGCAACAGCTGTACAGTACAGTGACTGACTTAACTTAATAAGTACCTTAAGTACTAGTAAGTTTATAGTATATATTTCTATAACAATAAATATTCAAGTAGATAATATTAAGTTACATCAAACCACAACTTTGTAAGCTATTATAACTACTTAAATAATATACCTACTGCATATAATTCTCATTGAACTTTGAGCAACATTCCTCTGAACTTCACAACACAGTTTTCGACTTAAATAAAATGTAATATCGCAATGTAAATGTCTAAATTAAAAAGGTCAATATATTTGTCAGGATAATCAGTTACGAGTCAAAACTTCAATTGAATATTAAAGGTGAATCACAGCACTGAATTGAGATAAAATAACAAGCGACCGCGAATCTAATAAACACAATAATCAACATAAATTATACACTCAATGATCGTCAATTTGTATTCAAACTTTCAATGATTAAAAACTCACCGTTATAAAGTAATACACAAATTTCACATCACTGGTAAATAGTTTTAAGAGTTATTTTGTTGTGTGAAACTTTCTATATTGAAATAAATAAGGTTTTCTTATTTACTTTGAACAGAAATAAAAGTGACGAGAGTGATCAACAAAAAATATTATGACAATAATGACAAGAGAAGGCTCCCTGACTGGTGACAGTCAGCGGTTATTGACAGTGACATTTGTGGTGTTGCTACATTATGCGTAACAAATTCCTACTTAGTAGCTTTTCTTAAAAGTATTTTTAACTGATTCCAAAAAAGAAGGCCTTAAAAGGAATTTTGTCGTGGTGGCCAGGAGGTTTAAGACGCTGGCTTCTCATGCATGAGAATACGGGTTTGAAACCTACCAACGGCAAATACCAATGTGACTTTTTCAGAGTTATATGAACTTTCTAAGATTATTTAGACACCACTGACAAACGGTGAAGGAAAACATCGTGAGATAACTTGGGCTTATGATTTCTAATTATAAATTTGTAATAGCCAACCCGCATTAGGCAAACGTGGTGATTAATGCTCAAACCTTCTCCGTGTGAGAAGAGGCTTTGCTCAGCAGTGGGCATTTATAGGCTGTTGATGATATAATGACAAAAGGAATTTTAAAAGGACAATTTTAACATATAATGTTTTAGTTGCATTTACCTATTTCAAATTATAATTAAATATCGGAGTATGAACGAAGCTTAAACTACACAATTCAGTAACACTTTTAAAAAATTGAAGGCACTACTGAAACGTAAAAAATAAAAGTATTCGTTCAATTCATGTTGAATTACAGAAAATACAGATAAGTAATGTCTTTAATTTTGAAGTAACACATTGTTTTGAATAAGTGATGCAATCAGGAACGTAAACAAGCACAAACGATTTAGTATTTACCTACATTTAATGAAAAATGTAAATAAACAAATATTGTTAAATCAATCTTATTTCTACAAGATTCATAAAATGAAAGTGTTTACATTAAATATCGACAATGCTTATACTTTCAGAGAATAATAAAAGATTGTTGATGTTCGCAGATCCACTTTTTAAAAATCAATAAACTTTCATTTTAGTTACAATAACAAACATGATCACATCACAATGTTTAATAATAACATTATTACTCATAAAACAATGTTTATTAACGCTCGCCACACTGTTATACAGTTAAACTTTTTCTACTTTCACGTAAAAATGTGTAAATATTAATGCGTACAGCCAATTATTTTTTTATTACCTCTCGAATTAAATGGTAACAATTACCTAATTTAAAATTAATGATGTTGCTAATATTATATTGCAGAAATTAAATTGAGGTGGATTTATGATCACTGTTTAACTCATAATAGTTACAATGTAGGTGGATATCTTTCATTCATTTTAGCCATTATAGTGACGATATTGTATAAAAAAGCGATATAATATGGACGGCAACTTTAAACACTTTTTTTAAGGGGGGAAAATCATCCAATGATTGCTCCCACCTGGGTGAGGCGGGAGAGAGTGTCAGACTCTTGATTACTGACTAAAAACCACCCCGTTCCTTTTTCACGTCGAGCCGGGGCCCCGGTAACCCGTTAGGTTCTCCGCGATAACTTTAAACACTGGCAAGCACTCATCAAATATAAGTGGGCAGCTGCTGACCAAAAGTCTAGGTCTAGGTATTCAAATAAAGTAAAATTATTCACAACTAAGTAAGGCTAAGCGCACCCGACGCCGTGACGGAATGCAGGCGCAGAAAAACCTAGAATCTAGATAAGTACGGGTATTTCCTACGACTTGTCATGAAGGAAGTCAGTAAACAAATAAATCCTTACTAGTCCTTACTAATATTATAAATCGGAAAGTGAGTTTGTTTGTTTGTTCCACTTTCACGCCGTAACTACTAAACCGATTGCTTTGAATTTTTGCAGTTGTGAAGTTAGAAGTCTGGATTAAATAATAGGATACTTTTTATCCCGGAAAAATTTGATATTCTCGAGGGAAAACGAAATTATTGGTAGGTATAGATGGCGCTAGGTGTATGTCATATAGGCTACTTTTTATCCTTTTGTGACGCGAGCGAAGCCGCGGGTAAAACCTAGTTGTAATATAAATGGAGGTACTATGTGTACCTTAGTTAAAATATCTAATGAGATATACACGTAGCGAGTGAATTAAGTGAACGTGGTACAACACCTAAGTATTATACATACAATATTAAAAAATAATAAATCTATGTTTATAAAAATGAAACCCGTTTCCCGTTGTCACGTCATCACGCGTGAATGGCTGGACCAATTTAACTAATTCTTTTTTGTTGTATTTGTTATTATTAGGAGAAGGTTCTTAAGACATAAAAAAATCCTGATAATCCTACGGGAATGACTGTGGGAGGTGGTGGACAGTACGTGGCTGATATGTGCATGACACCACAAACACTCTCCATGAAAAAAAAGTATTCTCAAGGAACCTTCCTTTGTCGACATAAACCAGTTTTATCTACAAGTCATCGCGTAAACGCGTAATTAGTAATTAATTGTATACAAATACCAAGGAGAGTGGTAATCATTTAATCAATAAGGTAGGAAGTAAGTAAGCTTGCAACTCTCTCACGGCGTCGGTCGACGTCCGAAAGTTTTGCTCGACAATGCAAAGGTGAACGATTGACGATTATTGCTTGTGGGCTGAGCTAAGAGCGGAGAGCGGAGTTTAAGAATAGGGTAGATGACAGGGTATCAAAACTATTTTAATTAGTCTGTAAGTAAGGTAATGAAAAAATATTAGACTCGTATTTTTTTATTTTCTCGTATAATAAAACAATACTTAGATGAACCGAATCAAAGTTCAGTGGAGTGGGGGCTAAAACGTCATTTCTACGTATAAAATGTACATAGAAGTGACGTCACGCGACGTTTCAAATCTGTAAGAAAATAAAAAATACGTGTCTAGTGATTTAAAATAAGTTACCAGACGGACATTTAAAAATAAAAATTAGGCATCTACCCTATTGCGATAGGGCATTAGCACATCAAATACGGGAAATATGGTTTTAAAGATACAATCAGTTAAGTAAAAATTCAACCAGAAACATTCTTTAAAAAACTAACGAGTCTCGATTGAACCGCTCGTTCGTCTCTAAAAAATAATGGAATCTACATAGACAAATGGAGTTTCGAGTGTGAACCAAACACTGCGGAACCATCCTTCAGGCGACACAACAGAAAATAATAACTAATAAAGAAATCGCAGTAAGGAACCCTAGACTTGGAACGAATTTGTCAAAATTTCATTACTTTTTAGAGATGAACGAGCGGCTTCATCGAGACTTGGCTGGTTTCTTACATAATGTTTTTGGTTGGATATTATATTTCGCTCACCGCTCCCGCTCCCGCCACCGCCTACAAGCTAAACCATACACCGCTGCCTCTCGGTGAAAGTATAACATTTTATCGAAGCCTGCACTGAGTACCTGCGGATTAACGCAAGATTGTGAGGATACGGAGACATGGAAATGAAAGGTGCCGTGAATTGGGTGATACTGTGTAAGTATGAAGTGATTTTAATGTGGTATTATCACTACATGGTAAGTAAAACTGAGTCTGAAGAAGACAGAGGGTCAGTTTGCGAGGGATTTGGTGAAACAACACAAACACCACCTTTACTTTCACTTTTTATTCACTTCCTTTGTTCCTTGTTCCCGCTAGGGGCGCTGGTTGTACTCGCCAACGTGTGGTTTGACGAGCAACCTAACCAAATTGATGTAACGAAACCATAGCGCGATCTATCTCGATATTACCACCCTCTATCGAGCGACGTGACAACTCTGACTAATAATAATTATAATTAAATGTTAATCGCGCTATGATCCCGTTACCGCTCCGAACAGAGTCACTTCCCGCTGACTGTCCCCATGTAGGCTTACATAGATCTTTGAAACTGCGCAACGGATTTTGATACCGTTTTTTTTAATGTATAGAGTGATTCATAACCGTACAGGAAACCACTGAGACACTTTCCCTTCCCTTTAAAAAAGATAGGCACTTGTAACTGACTCCTGTTGTTTAATTGTCCATGGGCGATGCCGATTGCTGACCATTAGGTGATCCGTCTGTCTGCTCATTTACCGTCCAATACCATTCAAAAACCTGACCTAGGCACATAATAAAAAGTATATAAGCACTTAAGAGACATGGCGACTGGTTTCCAAGCAGTATATTAACTTGTGACCTATGACTAAGCCAGGCTAAGTTTTCACATAGATATACAAACTTTCCTAAAATGTATGATTCTATATTGTACTAGCTGATCCGGCAAACTTCGTACCGCCTAATAATTTTCTCACCTATTAAACCTTCCGTGAAGTTTCACGAACATTTCAAGACCAAAATTTGCTAAATCGGTTCAGCCGTTCTCGAGTTTTGGTGAGACTAATGAACGTAAATTCATTTTTATTTATACCTCTATAGATTATAGCACGTCTCCGGGGCTCCGGGGGACAACACAATGGGTTACCACGGCTCCGGCTCTATGCAGGAGTAGAAACGGGATGGTGTTTAGTCAGTAAGAGTCTGACACTCTCGCATCGCCCAGGGCGGGAGGAGCCTTCTACCTTTTGATATGTGGCGGTCATCGCCCCCATTCTATGTCATCGATTCCGATTCTGATCATGTGATTATGATGTCACCTGTGCCCTAGCATGTATTAATTTGATTTATAATTAAACAGTCTCATACCGAACTTAAACGAGTGCAGATCATTTCACTCCTCACACAGATACGTCCTACACATACGGCGCTAAGCCCCACATATGGTGACCCCGACGTGATCGTCCAACTGACGTGTTTTTTTTTCGGAAAACGTGAACAAATTACTTTCGAATTTACAATGGCGACTCAACCAAAAGTACAACCCGAAGTGGTGGAGCTAGCGACCGTAACAGTGTCCTCAAGGATTCCTGATTTTTGGCGTGATCAGCCGCGACTGTGGTTCGTGCAATGCGAAGCAGTGCTGAGTCCTCAAAAACTAAGCGACGAAGCGAGGTTCAACATGGTCGTCACTAAGCTCGGCAAAGAAGTTGTGCAGCAAGTTAGCGACATTTTGTTGAAACCACCGGAAACGAAGAAATTCGAAACTCTGAAGGCGCGGTTGTTAACCGTTTATGAAGAATC